AGGACTTCAATTTTCCTCTCAATTAACGCCTCAGTAGTCGGCAGAATTCTGTTCAAGAGTTGCCATGCAAATATCTTCAATTTCGGAGGGATGTTGGCATCCCACATTCGGATCCAACTAGTCTTGTCCATCCAACTAGCTTGCGACCGCCACCGCCCATTCAACTGATCCAGACGAACTGCCAAGTGATAGGCCGACTTAACAGAGAAGAGACCATCAACAGTAGCATGCCAAATCAGTCGATCCTCAACGTTTCGCCATGGAAGAGGCATGGCCAGAATAGCTTTACATGTCGGAGGATCAAACCACTGCTTAATCTTATCCTCACACCACCGACCTTCCCCAGGGCAAATGAAGGCAGAGACCTTTGCTTCCCCTCCCTCAGGTAGGATCCGCGGATTATATACCGGGGGTAGAGGATGCAGTTGTGGAATCCAGTTTGAGTCAAGTAAGGGGGCCGATTGCCCATTTCCAATCTGCCACCTTAACCCCGCAGCCAACAACTGACGCCCATGCAAAATGCTTTGCCATTCCCAAGAAGGCCGGGAACGAGCCGTGGCTGAAAGGAAAGATCCCTGCGGGAAGTACTTCCCCTTATAAACCTGGGCCAAGAGGGATTGGGGTTCATGAAGGATTCGCCAGCCAATCTTAGCTAAAAGAGCTTGATTAAAAAACTCGAATCGACGAAACCCCATGCCTCCCTCATGCTTACTTCTGCACATGTTCCGCCAGGACATCCACCGGACCCGTGAGCACCCCTCCTCAACCCCCACCAGAATCTAGCCACATGTTTGTCCAAGGGGCGACAGAGAGACAATGGTAGGCGAAAGCATGACATCACATGGAGCGGCAAAGCTAGAGCAATAGATTTGATGAGAGTTTCTTTAGCTGCCGACGAAAGGGTCCTCCGCTTCCATCCTTGAAGACGTTCCAACAATTTCTCCTCCAGGTACCGGAATGTGGCTGTCTTGGATCTAGCTATTAAAGTAGGGAGACCAAGATATTTATCATGCACCCCTACTGCACCCACGCCAAGGATAGCCGCCAAGAACTCCTAATCTGACAAGGAGACGTTCTTACTAAAACACACCGCCGATTTCTCCAAATTCACTCTTTGGCAACTTAACTCTTCATACTCATTTAGTACTTCGATTAGATTCTCACACTCTTGTAGGGAACCACGGAGGAACAAGTAAGAATCATCAGCAAAGAACAAATGAGATATGCGAGGGGCCCGGGGTGCTACCTTGACTCCTGCTAGCCTCTTTTCCGAGATAACTTTGTGGAGTAAAGCAGCAAACCCCTCAGTGCAAAGCACAAAGAGAAGGGGAGAAAGAGGATCCCCCTGCCGAAGTCCTCGAGAAGGCGCAAAGAATCCTGAAGGAGACCCATTCATTAGGACCGAGAAGGAAGTGGATTGTAAACACTCCCGAATCCACCCACGCCAGACCGAGCTAAAGCCCATTTTTTTCCAAAACCGGGTTTTGATTTTCAAATAATGCATCAACTCATGTCCAATGAGGATATTGTCCACTATCTGTCTTTCTCTGATGAAGGCATTCTGCCCTTCCGAGACAATAGTAGGCAAGATCCCTGCAAGCCTCTCCGCCATAATTTTAGTGATTATTTTGTACACGAACTGGCATAAGCTAATAGGGCGAAGCTGGCGCATGGATTCCACTTGCTCAACTTTGGGGATCAGAGTCAACCAAGTGTGATTGAAACCCCGGAGCATCTTACTTGTAGTAAAAAAAGAGCCAACCGCTGCCACCATGGACTCCCCAACAATCTCCCAGTAGGATTTGAAAAACTTCCCCGTGAAACCATCTGAGCCAGGGGCCTGTTTTGAACCCATCGCAAAGACCATTTTGCGGATCTCCTGCGGACTGACCTCCGCAGTGAGGTAGCGTTCATTTCTGGGGTCACATTGGAGGCAATGGGGAGCTCCGCCACCCGATCAGCCATATCCTGTACTTGCGACTCCGAGGTGAAGAGAGATTGGTAAAACCTGGTCGCAACGTCCGCCTTTGCTTTCTCCTCCGTCACCCACTCCCCGTCATCATTAAACAGGCCAGAGACAAAATTTCGCTTACGGCGAGTTCGCGTGACCGTGTGGAAGTAGGAAGTATTTTGATCACCTCTCTTCAGCCACCGGACACGTGATTTTTGCTGCCAGTAAACCTCTTCTGCCTCCCATTGTCTATTTAATTATGTCTCGAGAGTAGCAACCTCTTGCCAATTGATCGGGTGCACAACCTTAATTCTGGCAATTTCATTTTGCAAAGTGTGTATATTACGCAGGGAATTGGTGGTTCCGGCTCTGCTCCAGTCATAGAGCAAGTGACGAAGTTTTTTCAACCTCTCCCATAACTGGAACATCGGCGTACCCTGAACTGGCTCCTGCCAAACATACGCAACCATAGCCTTGACCTCAGGATTATCCACCCACCTGGCATCAAACCGGAACAGAGGACGGCATGATCGAACATAAGGTTTATCAGACAGAAGCAAAGCCCGATGGTCAGATCCCTGATCAGTGAAATGTTTCACTAAGGTGTCTGGGAAAAGGTCCATCCATTTTTGGGAGCAAAGCGCTCTGTCTAATCTTTCGCGAATACACGCCAATGTGGGTGTACTAAAGATAGCTGAAATTTTACTACGACAATGTGGGTGTGGATTGATTTTATGTCTAAAGTCTATTTCTCTTATTATTATATTGTTTTTAAATATACTATGTTCCTGCGGCGTAACTGGGGGTATTGATACTAGTATCAACAATTATCCCATGCCATATTCCATGTGTAGTTAGGGTAGACTAGGACTGGAATTGTGCTTTCTTTCTACACATGTACATGCAGTGATAGATGATGCAATTCTGGGTTTATCAACTTTGATTTTAAGCGAGTAATTGTGTTTGTGTGAAGATGGAGAATGTCATTTACTAGAATCAGTGGTCAGATTATTTTAGGTGTGTACGTTGACCTCTTGACTTACTAGAAGCACTGGTCATGATGCGTCGAGATTATAGCAGTATAGATTTTCCTTTTTATCAACAAAGTGTTTTTTATCATAATAACTAGGCGCATGTATATTCTTATACTTTTTATAACAAAATCCTTATTATAAAAGAAAATTTGCATGTTTATTCTTAAAATGGTGACATTTTGGTCTATAGTGCTCCCTTCCTCCTAGTTTTTCATGAGTTAACATACTTGGGGGTGATGGAGTTGCCTATACATCACAAACGTGCTACTCGGTTGTGTGTCTAAACTAATCTAGCATCGGTTAGCTTGGAAATTGGACTACTAAGGGACTAGAGCTATGAATGAGAGATGTAGCAGTAAAGCTGCTTGATGAGCTGTGAAACTTAGCTCTTCGTGTGTCATTATTGTGAAGTTGTAACCAACCAAAAGAATCCCCCACCACGAGGACCGAGAAAGGCCACCCACCATCTTATTCTTCACCACCACCATTAAATGCTCTTCCTCCCTTTCTCTCTCAACTGCTTGTTAATCTCCAAACCCAACCCCAAATCACCCAAAAATTCATTATGAATCCAATCCAAAAAGGCCAAAGCAATCACATTTGGCATGTAGCTACATCTTCATCCAGCTAGCAGAACACCAGAAACCACCCAACACCTGTCTCTCCTTCCTTATAACCTCTCTCTCAATCCTCTCCTTTCCATTGATCAAATCTCCCTAAAAAACCATGGAGTCTTTCTTCCCCAGGAGGCTCTCCAGCTACCAGAAACTGGACTACGGTGGAGAAGAGTCACAAGATGGAGGAGGTGTTGGCCATTTTGATGGTGGTTTCATTGGAAGGCCAACAGCTAGGAGCAACTTGTTCAGGTTCAGAAGGGTGCAATGGAGGCGGAGGAGAAGGAGATCACCATCTTCACCAGGCTTCATCAGGGTCAAAGTTTCGAGCTTGATTAGGAGGAAGAGAGTGGTGATGAGGATGGTTAGAGCTTCCATCAGGAAAGTGCTGAAGAGGTTGAAAGAAGGCCATGCTCATTTTGGTGATCTCTTTGCCGGGAACTATCTCTTCCTGCAGATCAATCCCACTTCTTTGAAGTCCTTGCAGAAAAGTTACAATAGTACTCCTCCTGGTTTTCACTTTAGCCCCAGGATTCCTCAATCATGATTGAGATTTGAACATCTTTGGTGTTTGTTGAAGTTGGTTCGGTTTTAGTAGTCTGTAGTCATTAGATGATGTAATCTTCTATCTGTGTCAAGTGTAATTTACTTTCTAATCTAATGTTTCTCCTCTTTTGAAATACCTTCTTTTCTGACTTTCCCCATCTGTAATCCTTCTGATTTCATTGGACTGGGTAGAAATAAATGGCTGACTGAATTCAGTGGTGTCTGAATGTACTGGTTCTGAAAGTTCTGTGATTTATTACATGAGGAAGAAGTTATGTACTTTTACTTCTTAAGGCAAAATATAAGGAGTTGATATTTGGTGGGTATGCAGTGTATTTGGCAGAAAGAATGGCGCTAGTTAATGGGCCAGTTCTATATTCTTCTTACTTGTCCTGTACCAGTCACCATTCCTTTATGCTCCATGTGAGGTTGCATGGCTGAATGAGGCATGGGGTTGTAGAAAAATACCATGCATTTGCCCAACTGGGTATGATGATATGGACCCATCTGGTTTTCTGGCATCCATGTGTATCCGTGCTTGCAGTTTTCCAGTTGATGGTAATTTGCACAGGAGGTAATCGAATTCAAGGGAATCTTACATTACAACTTAGTTTCGTGTATGCATTTGGTCATTCAGCTGATACAAATCCCTTCGGTTAATCACTCTTGCTGCTCGAAGATCTCGATCATCATCTTCGATCATCAGGTCGATCGTATTAGAACTTGGACCGTCCGAGTCATTCATAGCTACAGAGATGGTGACTTTATATCTTTCCAAGCTAAGTCGTACGAACCTCATACAGAATGGTTTGAACTTAAGTAGCTCTCTAAGCTAGATACTAAGTCAGCATCCAGTTACATTGACCATGAAGCTTCAGCCAATTTTGTGAACCTCACCTCAACATCCTCCTCATTTTCCAATCTCTCTATCTCTTCATCAATCCTCTTCATTCTACCCACCGATTTCTCTAGTTTCGCCTTCAAAGCCTTCACCTCCTCTCCCACTTCAACTCTCTCAGTCTTCAATTTCTTGCACCTATTGGCATGGTCAGAAAGCCCTATGAGCTGCCTCAACCTGGTGAGTATGAACTCCACATTCATTCCCAGCTTCTCGAATCCTGACAATGTGTTTTCCCAAGTTGCAAACTCTTCCTTCTGTCGAGTACCGAACTTTGCAGTCCTTACTGCATCAGCAATGTTAGTGGTCTCAGCGATTATTCCGGCTATCAGCTTACAGTTAAGCCCATTGGGAATATGTTGGTGCAGGAAAGACTTCTGGCTGCTGCATAGTTCGTAGTACTTGTACTGAAGCTGTTTGGAGAGTTCACAGTTGATGATCAGGCCGTTAACCACAATGTCAAAGTCATCAAAGTTCTTCACTTGCTGGAAATCAACAGCTGGTTGATCTGATGACATAATTATCCCATCTGAGATATCAAAACCGAAATCTTCCTTGCTTCCATTCTTGGGCTCGTCTTTATGTACTATAATTTTGCAGTTGGTGATGCTGGTCTTCTCGGCTTCTTTGGCACTTGTCTCGACCTTTCTCTTGGATCTTCTACTCGCTTGCTCTGAGGCACTTGCTCTCACTACGTAGACCTAAGGAGATGGCAAAACAGTCAAATATTCTACCCTTAATTTCAAGTAGAAGACACGCAAACTTTAGGCTGTAGGGAAAAAAAGAGAAGTCACCTTGAACTTGGTCGGTTCAAGTAACTGAAAAACCACAACATCGCCTTGGGCTAACTTGTGATGGATGGAGAAAGCTCTCCATCCGCCGCTAAGACAATGCTTACTAGCTAAGAATTGGGCGGGATAAACTTTGCCATTGTCATCTTCTAGGTCGATCACCTTGTCCTTGTCAGGCAAATGCTTGTAGCAGAACCCTGCCACAAGATGCTGTCGTGACCGCAGCAATCCAGATAAGATACAAGCATCCAACACTCCCGGGGCGTAAAAGACATTGACAAGACAAAACACCATGTCGAATTCCCAATAGACTTACCAAGGAAAACCCAATATGTGAAGGGTGCATAAGCTTCATCAAGGTAGGAAAGTTTCCAGGTAAACTAGAAGCAAACTCATGTGCTTTTCTCATTGCAGCATTGTCTACCTCGCCACTTGCATACAGATTCTCCATGGAGGCCCTCTTCCCCATAGAACTGAAGATATCTTTCTGATTCTTGACTGACTTTACAGGAGACTTGATTGCGACTATATCTGCTTCCTGTTATAAGTACTGTTAGACAGTCAATTAGTTTACTGTGGAACAATGTTCAAGTGGGATAATCATGCTTTTGAATCCTGTCGAAATAGGTTGACTCATTTTGACAATGCATAAACATTTGCGAAAGAATGATGACTAATGAAAGCAAATTACTAAATCGGGTCAACCAGATCAGATCAAAATTCTTAACCTGAGGTAGACCAAGCACATACATATTCAAGCTTTCTTCCTTTGTTTCAAAACCCTTTTCCTTTCCCTTCCTATTTCTCCACAACCCCCTACGTTAAACATCTCTTTCAAAGTTCAGAAAAAAGGTAAATAGCTCATGCATTCAGCTTTTCACTAAGAACCCTCCAGACCCAATTTGATTTCAGTAATGATCATGCAAGGAATGAACCGCCAAACAACTGGATGAAAGCAAGCTAAAGAAAGAAATCTCAAAAGGGCAATTGAAGCAAACTAAACAGATCTTCAAAAGGGCATTGTTGAGTGCCACCAAACAAAGCTCATTAGAGTAGAGACTGAAAGAAAGAGAGAGAACGGAAGCGGAGTCGGTATTCTCGCCTGATTGCTGCAGGAAACAGCCCCGTCGCAAACTTCCCGTGGCCTTCTCTTCTTCGCCTGCAGCAGAATCAGAGCAGGCGATCAGCCGTCAATTGTCCAGCTCAAAGCTTTCACTCATGCAGCAGATCAAGAATGTAAAATGACAAAAGGAGGGTCTTTAGCATTGGGTTCGGCCTGATATCTCTTAGCTTAAAGAACGGTCATGATGCTAACCACACTAGCAATTCTTTCTTCTTCTCTTTTGGGGATGAATGGATTGCTGCAGCAGGAATTCCAAGCTGCAGTCTTTCCACAGAGACCAGAAGGGTAGAAGAGAAACAAATGAAAACAAATGCAGTTATGTGAAGATTGGTTCAACTAATTCATCCGAGAAGAAGGTTGGGTTGGGCTTCTAAATCAACTGGCTAGCTACATGCATATGGAAAATTACTTCTTGGATACCCAACTCGTCTTATTTAGTCATCAGTCGAAGTGGTAAATTTAATTTAGATAACCATAATATTTGCTACTCATTTACAATATTTGGTCGTTTGATTTGATTTGCTACTCCGACCTTCAAATGGTAGCAAATTTATGATGTAAAACTATAACAATTCACATTGAATTTTAATCATTACAAGTTTGGAACGAAATTGTCAATTATTATCAACAGTTATCGTAAATAGTTGACAAACTGGCAATGTCCAAATCTGATGAGTTTGGATGTGAAAGATTGCGAGGAATGTACAGAGTACAGACTAAATGGGGTAATACTGTGCCAGAGAGTACACTACAGTCTAACCATATGCTTCATTCAGAGTTTCTAACCTTAGCTTCTGCAGCTCCAAATTCATTGGGTGAAGGATCAGCTCAACTAGTAGCAAACCATTACAAACAAATCGATGTATCATGTTCAAGAGCTTACTTTTCTAAAGCTCTGTACATTGAAACTCTTGTGCACAAAGTGAATTACCAGTTACCCGTAAGTCAGCAAGTCACATTCACCATGGAGATTTAGCCAATTCTCTGTACCTCACCTGAACATCATCTACCTCCAACCTTTCGATCTCTTCATCAATCCTTTTCGTTCTTCTCACCCACTTCTCGAGCTGCACCTCCAGAGCCTTCACCTCCTCTCCCACTTCAGCTCTCTCAGTCTTCAATCTCTTCAACCTATTGACATTGCCACAAAGCCCCATGAGCTGCCTCAACCTGGTTAGTATGAACTCCACATTCATCCCAAGCTTCTCAAATGCCGACAAAGTGCTCTCCCAAGTCACAAACTCTTCCTTCTGTGGGGCACCAAGTTCTGAAGCCCTTATGGCATCAGCTATATTTATGGTCTGGGAGATTACCCCGGCAATCAGCTTACAGTTGAGACCATTGAGGATTTGTTCATGGAGGAACAACTTCTGGCTGCTGCATAGTTCATAGTACTTGTGCTGGAGCTGCTTAGAGAGCTCACTATTGATCACCAAGCCATTCACTATAATGTCAAAGTCAGCAAAGCTCTTCACTTGTCGGAAATCAATAGTGGATTCTGATGACATCCTAATACCGTCGGGGATATCGAATCCAAAATCTTCATCACTTCCATTCTCCGACTCATCGGGTACGTAGTTATCATCAAAGGAAAGATCAGAATTGTGGACAGTCTTGAAAGTTGCTTTGCCACTTGTGCTCAGATTCTTGGCATGAACTGGAGGGAAAGCAAGCTTTTACAATAAAATTTACCTTATTCTACCTCTACTCAGTTTCAGCTACTTCAACTCAGACTACCTTAAAAGGCATAACAAACATAACAAATCACTTGCTTGAGGGTGGGGGTGGCAGGAAGAGGGGTTTAATCTTACCAGGTTTCTTTTCCATATCAAGAGCACCATCTACTCTCTCTGACCTACTTGTCCTCACAATATAGACCTTGAGAAATGGTAAGAGTCAAAATATAGTTCCTTGAAAATTTGAACTCTTAAGCAGAAGAAACTGAAACTTCAAATAGTACCTTGAACTTGGTTGGCTTAAGTAACTGGAACACCAGAACATCTCCTTCAACTAAATCATGCTTGCCCGCAAAAGCTGCCCATCCAGCGCTGAAAGTGTTCTTATAGGCTAGATACTTTGTCGCGTGAACTTCACCATTTTCATCCTCCAACTCGATCATTGAGTCCTCCTCAGGTAAATGCTTGTGGCAAAACTCTGCCAAGAGACGCTGCCATGCCAGCACCAATCCAGTAACGTAGACATTAACAAGCATCCAAATTCCTAAATCATTGATGATAATGCAAACCATGTCAAATTTCAATAGGCTTACCACTGAAGCTCCTCTAGTAACATGTGAAGGGTGCATGACCTTTATCAATGAAGGAGAGTTTGCAGGTAGATTAGATACAATCTCCTGTGCTTTTCTCATTACATCATTCTTAGGCTCGTAAGAGCTGCAAGGCATGAAGTTCAGAAGATCTTCATGACCATCTAAAAAGAAGAAGTGATGCAGCTAAAGAGTATGAAATTGTGAGATTTTGGCTGACCTTACAGTTGACTTGATTGGAACAAAGCCTCCTTTCTGTTATATAAGCATGAAACAGTCAATTTCCCCAAATTTGATACGTTCACGGAAATTTTGGAATGGCCACCTCAAGTTTGGGATTTCTAGCCTAGGAGGAAGAAAACCATTTGACTGGAAACCTACTACAAGTCTACAACCAGTTGATTGTCAGTCATGACCATGCAAAGGAACCACTAAAGAACTTGATTGAAGCGAACTAAAGAAATCTCGAAAGGGGAATGACTAATGAGAACCACCGAACGAAGGCCAGTAAGCAAAGACTGAATGGAGGAGAGAGAGAGAGAGAGAGAGAGAGAGAGAGATAGAGATAGAGAACCAGAGCAACCCCATCGTTGAATTCTTGCATGCTTCTTTTCTCACCCTGCAGCATAATCGAAGCAAGAAAAAGACACCAAGATTGATTCAAACAAGGAGAGAGAGATGTGAAGCTGAAAGTTACAGCTTTGCAAGCAGAGAGCAAACTTACCGAACGAGAAGGTCTTTGGAAAATGGGTTCAGCCTGCTCCTCCTTGACTTGAAGAATGGTCATGGTCCTAGCTGCAGTAGAATTTGATAACGCCAGTAGCAATTCTCTCTTTCTTCGTTCTTCTTTCTTCAGTAGCAATTCCAGTTGCAGAGAGAAGCTCAGAACCAGAGGGGAAGGAGAATAGAACACGAACAGTAATAGAACAGAAAGTTCTTCTTATCATAAGACATGTCAAAACTACACTGTTCATTAGTGTCCCATCAATGGGTGGCGTTACCGTCATTCTTTCCTGCCGTTAGTTTCGTTGTTCCTGTAATTCTTCTTTTTCTGCCGTTAGTTCCATCATTGCTCTAGGGAGAAGAAACGTCAGCCTAGAGCTCCTATCTATCATGTAATTCATTCTTTAGTATTCTTCTTATGCCTAGAGAAAAAAAACGCCGGGCTAGAGAACCTAGAGCCAGGGGAGGTTTTGCCGTGAAAGCTTGCTTCTTTTCTATTCCCAATCCAGTACATGCCCAAATGATCTCGGGTGTTTTTCCTCTGCTCTGTGACGACCCTTGCTCGTGTCTGGCTCTCTCTTCCTCCACTTTTCGGCCGCCGCTGCTTTGGGGGTTCCTCGAGGTCCGGCCGAGGTCGGCCTGTCTTTTCACATCGATGGGCTGGTCACCGCCTCAAGTCCGGCTGCTTTTGCTCCCTTCTTTTCTTATACTCTGCTTTCTCGGTTTGTTCCTGAACCTCCTTATCTGTTCTTCTCTGTTGCTCTGTGTTCTTTGGTTTCCCTCTGATTTCCGCCATGGTTACTCATAAGCTTCTGCTGGATGTTGGTGCAAATGACGGCCTGCACACGCTGCTCAAACTGCGCCTGGTTCACGCTTGGGGGTCCTATGGTGTGAAGGATCCTTCTCTGATCTTTATTGGGGTCTTCTATCTGCTTTGTCTCCCTGCACACGCAAACCTTTCCTTCGTCCTGTCATCTCCGACTCGAGACCCTCGCAAACTTCCCCTTCCCTGCTACTCCGTTCTGCAAGCCAAACCTGCCACTGCCATTCTTGCTTTCCCCTCGCGAATCGACCATTGCCCGAAACCCATCTGTACCATCTCCCCCAACAAAGCCCAACTCCCTTCTTTCACTCACGCATCTTCCATCACTCTCAACAAACCCAAAATCCCTAATTCTCTCTCGGCGGAATCGCCAATACCCCGTCCTCCCATCCACCCAAACCCACAGCGGCAACCGTCCCCGCTGATCCCGCGAACATGCCGATGGCTAGGAGGAAAGACGAATCCCAACTCCTCTCAACCCTCCCCTTATAGTTATGCACGCACTCACATAGACGACCTCGGCGGAATCCCAACACCGACGATCCTGACTATTCGGCGTCATTGAGATCTTCGTCAGAAGCTAGGATTCGAGGCCGGGGCTGACAGTGAAGTGAGTAGCGGAGGGCGAATAACCTCAAATATTTGAGAGGTTTGCAAGTGGCGAAGTCAGGGGGATTTGAGGAGAAACGAGCTTTCCAAGAATAGATGAAGGAACCAGAAAGGAAATGGGCAAACAACATCTAGAACGGTCCCAATAGCTGCTCGGAACATAGTGACCGAGGCTTCCCCTGGCTCCCAGTCCCACTTGATTTCACTGGCTGAATCCCAGGTTCCTCTTTCTACTTATGTCGCTGGTTTTTCAAGCCTTCTCTTTTCAATTTCTTCTTATACCGATCCTGTTCTTCTATTTTTCAGGTGAGGTAGCTTTTGGTGGGACAAGAGAAAAGGATAAGAGGAGTATAGAGACATTAAAGCTCATAAAATTGAGTTCTGGTTTTGTTTCAGGCCTCGAGGGTCTGTGTGTTAGTTGCAAACTGAGATTCTGAGTTCAGGATAAGCCACTTAGGCACCATGAAGCTACCGCCGTCACAAGCCTTTCCTGGGAAGCAGCAAAAACTAACCCTCAGTTTCCATAACTTGAATTGAGGGGAAACCAAATATTATTTGGGAATGAAAGAGAAAACTCCAAGGAGGGGTCAATCATTCTTAAGCACAGCTGTTACCATTTTTCTCTTAATACTTAGAGAGCCTTGGAAACAACTCACCTTCTAGGTAAGGATGTTATCTTACATTATATATATTTATATTTTGTTAAAATTGAGATCGAGAAGCAGTGATAGGAACGAGTTGAACCAATTCACAGTGAGAAGATACCTATGAACTGCTATTATTTCTTGCTTCAGGTTACGGAATAATTTCAGACTAAGGATTAGTTAGTTTCACAGCCTGTTTCGTTCATCATTGTTTGTTAGTTTCAAAATCATTGTAGGGAATCATTGTAGGAATTGTCTGTTATGCGATTTTGGCCATTGCATATTTGCAAGAGTACATACTTGCTCTTTGTATTATAGCTGAGTATGCTTTTGTCTGTAATACATATTTGGTACATATGGATGTAACTTTTTGCGTTTCAGTGTCAACCTTATAGAGCCTGCATCTTTTTCTTCCACGGATAGGATGATAAAATCTAAGCTTGCTTGCTTACCGACTTATATTTAACTTTTAATTGTTGTCATGCTCATTCACCACCACTGTTTCCTTTACCCCCCCCCCCCCCCCCCCCCCCCCCAATGTCAATTATAGATTATCAAAATTATTGTAAAAATTCTCTGCAGTATTACTAATTATGTGCACCTAATAGATATCGTTGAATATTTGTGTTCAATACCCATCATGGGATGCCCTTATGATGCGGTTGAGTCTGCTAGAGAAATGGTTATAGTTACCTACCGCTACCTTTTGTAATTCTCTTATACGTTTGACCCTTATCAATTGACTTTGTACCTGTCGTTTCACAGAAATACACCCATGAGATGCTTATATTGGAATGGATAGAGGTCGTGTTGCGTGGGATGAATAGATAGGTGAGCTGTGTCTGTGTTTTGCCACCCCAAAGGTTGATTTTAATAGTGCAATAGGAATGGCTTTCAGATAACTTTTGCTGTTATGTCTGTTCTTATTGCGAATGCAATGTTCTACAATTCTATTTTCCTTTATTATGGCTTTGATTCCATACTCTGATTGCATCATTTGTACGTAGGCGAATCATGCTTAAAAATACAACTCGCTAATGAGATCAGAGCAAGAAAGCAAACAATCGCTAGAATTCACAACGACAATGAGCGGTGATGCTCAAGACCAATTCCATAACGATGCTTGGTTGGCAGTAGACAATTTGTCTGCCTTACAAGTAAGTTTGCTTACCAGTGCTTCATATTTGTTCTTCACTTTTCTCTCTACACAGCAAATTTATACGAGCCTCAAATATGTCAACATCAACAAATCATCTTACACCCTGGACATTTGACTTTCATGTGTGCTTGGAAATGAGTTAAGATTTACTTTACTCTGTTCTCCTAACAGTTATGGCTGGTTGGTATAACGACATGAACATTTGTTAGTTCGCTGTTTGTGTTTCTGTGTTTTGTATTTGATGTTGGTAGCATTTTCACATTTTGTGTTGCCACGACCTGTAGGTTGGTCTTCAGGATGCCAAGACCAAACGAAATGTCAAGCTACAGGCTTCTTTAAAAGAGTTGTGACTCCAATTCTATAAAGGTAATGACAAATATACTAAGGAGTGCAAGTCTCCCAAGGGAAAGACTACGAACGTCCCTGCTTTACAGAAGGTTCCGGTTGAGAACGCAATTTCAAGTAGAGGTACTATGCATATTTTATTGCTTCTAAGAAATTTCACAGGAAAATATAATTTAGCTAGCGTTATATTACATTCTAAATTACATTAGTAGTTGTGAGCTGAAATGACAGAGGTTGCTTTCTGCACGCCGCAGTAAGCCAATTGGAAAAAAAAAAGGTTTCTGTTCTTTTATTTCGTTAGATCCTTCTCCATTTGGGTTTTGCTTTCAAAGTGAAGGAAATTAAGTTCTCTGATTCTGTTTTTGTGTTAGGATTCAAGAGTTTTATCAACTACTTCAAAAGGAATCCCAAAGGTGTGTGTCTGTTTCCTATCTATTGTTTTGCTTGCTGTTTCAGTGCCGTTTTTGTTTTTAACTGGATTTTTTTACTGGGCCTGCAATGACTCAGGAGCCAAAAGGAACCTGCAATTGTCCTCTGCTCCAAACATGCTTTGTTGTATTTTCACCCCGCTTCCAAATTGGTGGCACACAAAGCTCCATTACGATAGCACCAACAAGGAGCATTTCATCATTCTCAAGCTTTGTGGGTCCGTGCATGGACGAATTTTTCTTTATCAATGACCAGTGAGTAATTTATTTATAATCGATCACTTATTTTCACAAACTGAAAATTTATTTCCCTTTATTGTGCAATTGCCAGCTAATGAGTTTCACAAATGATTCTCATTCTGTTCAACTACTCCTTTATGCTTCCAGTAACGCTCCTTTCCATTCATGTTTTATAGGTTTGTATTATATCCATTGCCTCATTTCCCTGAACTAATTTCTTACTGATGTTTCATAGTACAACTTTTAAGTATACCAAATTAATTTCAGTACAGCTAGAGAACTGATTGGAAATCCCTCGAGTGTTACACTCAGTATCGTCGTGTTCTTGACTTTCAAATGAGGAGGCAGAAGTCAGTGATTGTAAACTCTCTTACAAACTACTGTTCGTAAGGTCTGCATGTTTAGTCTAGAGACTGCTAGAGTTCCAGGTCGATCAAGCATCTATAGAGTCTTGTGATGTCAGCTGCTTATCTTTGCAGCCTTTGTTGCCATCTGTCGGCACCACCATCTTAGTACTAAGCTATTAGATTACCCCAGCTCTTCCCATCGCTTCAACCCATCATACTATCGGAACCACGTTTCTCTTTCTTCACTTGCATTGCATGCCCTTGCTATACAAGCTAATTTTCTTTTTTATTCGACTGTTTGTACTGGGGCTGTAACCTGTGGATGAGCATCGCCCATAGCCTCCTATTGAACTGCCAAATCACTTGGTAAGCTCTTCACCTTCATACAGATCAATGAGTAAGTCTGGCATTGCAGTTCACATCCAACACATGTCATTCCTTTCTGTGATTCAAGTATAGTTGTCATACTCCCTGTTTGTGTAACGAGAATATTTTTGTTGTGTTTATTTTTGCTTTGTCTTGGGTGATTGTGACTTTTCTTTATGTTTGAACAAAAGCCTAGGGGAGTATTCGTGAGAAACATCGCCCATAATCAAGCTATCAAGATGCATCAGGGGGAAATTCAAGATCCCATCATGTTTTCCACAGAAACTAGCCTTGGTTGAGGATGCATCATAGGCTAAACTTCATTTCTTTGTTCTAGCTTTCCATTCTTTCCGTCGTCAACTGTTAGAGTAGTAGGCATAACTGAATTCTTATGCATTTTCTTTGCTAAATTGTTTTTGTTTCCTTTAAAATTTTCTGTCATCGTTCGATTGAGCCACATTTCCCTGGGACCAAGTGTTTCCACTTCCAGGGAACCACAAGTTTGCGGTAGTTTTGCTCAAATATTACCTTCTCATGAATTTTCGTCTTACTTAGAGTTTAGTTGGGTTGGTTTCGGTGGCTCACTGCTGTTAATTATTAACAGTGGTGCCGTGTAACATAACCAAGCCCCTGGTCATTTGGGGAGAAAATGTCGGGATAAGCATAGCAAAAGGAACGAATATTTATGAGCCTGAATGTACTGAAAGTTATTAATATTATTATCATTAGGATGCATTTTGTATTAATCTTTTGATAAAAGTTGCAGAAACTTTATATCACCACATATGTTTAGTAGTCTTATCTCATCATTAACTCACATATGATAGATTCACGAAAAGTGAGGACATAGATTAAACTTTATGAGAAATGATGGAATTGTTCTTATATTTACACGAATTATGTATGTCGCATTGTAGCTTTCACTAGACGCGAAGCGCAAGCGAGCGGGTCTTTTCTAGTAGAAATGAAACAGTCATGTGCTTTTGGGTTGGGCTTTCTTCGTAAATGAAAAAGTTGGGCTGGGCTTTCATATTGGGCTAGCTCGGGACAGGATAGAGATCTGGATCCTAATCCTTCCTTTTATTGCAAGGAACAAGAGCATTTGACTAATCTATAAACCAAGCTAGAGAGTTGAAACTTGAAAGCCTCTCTTTCTTAGGTCTTCAAACATGGAAATGTTACCATGGAAGATGATCTTGACAAGAGAGCATATACTACGTTATGAAATGCATATAATGATGCTGCTACAGGTGTAGTACATAGTTAGACCATTATCAGATGTCTGCTAATCACACTCTAATCTTCAAAAGCAAGCCTACTGACCAAAACCACAAGTCTCCTTAGATAACTAAAACCTTACTTCTATTAGCTCCAACTTCATTTGTTGAAGGGCCAGGCTCGACTATCAATTAGCCATTACATACAAAATAATCACTGCACCATGTTCACGAGCTTCCTTTTCCAAACTCTTGTGCAAAAAAAAAACGAATAACCTGTGTTACTACTTAGTACCTACTACAACTACAAGTCAAACTGCCCATGGAGCTTTAGCCAATTCTCTGAACTTCACCTCAACATCCTCCACATCGTCAATTTCCAACTTCTCGATCTCTTCATCAATCCTTCTCATTCTTCGAACAGATTCCTCGAGTTTCGCCTCCAGAACCTTCACCTCCTTGCCTACCTCGACTCTCTCAGTCTTCAACCTCTTACACCTATTGGCATTGTCACAGAGCCGCATGAGCTGCCTCAATCTGGTGAGTATGAACTCCACATTCATTCCCAGCTTCTGAAAAGCCAACAACGTGCTCTCCCAAGTCACAAAGTCTTCCTTCTGCTGACCGTTATCATTACCCCTAGCATTGAACTTTGAAGCTCTTATGGCATCAGCAATGTTAATGGTCTCGGCAATTACTCCCGCTATCAGCTTACAGTTGAGACCATTGAGGATTTGTTCATGGAGGAACAACTTCTGGCTGCTGCATAGTTCATAGTATTTGAGCTGGAGGTGCTTTGAGAGCTCAGAGTTGATCACCAAGCCGTTCACTGTAACGTCAAAGTCATCAAAGCTTTTTACTTGCTGGAAATTAACAGCTGATGCTGAAGACATCCTGATTCCATCTAGGACATCGAATCCGAAACCTTCATCACTTCCATTCTCAGAATCCTCTGGTTCATAGTTATCATCAGCAGAAATATCAGACTCATCAACAGTCTTTGTGACAGTTGCTTTGCCACTTCTGCTCAGATCCTTCGCATGAGCTGGACGAAATAAAAGGATCAAAGCTTTTACTACAAGTACGAATGAAATTCAGCACATTCTCCTTCCACCCAGTTTCAGCCATTTCAACAAGTAATTTGCTTGGGTTGGGGGAAAAGAAGCTTACCAGATTTCTTTTCCAAAACACCATCCAGCTCCATAAGGTCAAGAGCACCCTCCACTTCCTCTAAGCTAGATTTCTCTTCCAAACTAGTCTTCTCCAGTTTTAGAAGGCCAAGAGCAACATCATTTTCCTCGAAATCACGTGCCCTTACAATGTAGACCTACAGAAATGGCAAAATATGGTCAAAATATGCAGATCTGATGAACTCTTTAACTCTAAGTAGAAGTAACTGAAACTTTAGGCCCAGAAATTTAATAAAATGAGTTGAAACCAAGTTACCATGAACTTGTTTGCCTTAACTAGCTGGAAAACTACGACATCTCCTTTGACCAATTTGTGATCGGTTGAGAACTTTCTCCATCCCCCGCTAAGTCCTGCCTTTCCGACTAGACAATTCACGGGAAAGACTTTGCCGTCCTCATCTTCCAAGTCCATCATCATGTCCTTTTCACCCAAATGCTTGACGCAAAACTTTTTGCAAAGACCCTGGAGCAATGCGGAGCATCACTGTAAGGTTTACCCATGTCAATATTTATAGCATTATGATATGTCAAACTTTGATTGCACTCGCTTACCAGCCAAAACCCACCCGAGATTTGAGAAGGCATCATAAGCTTTATCATGGTAGGGAAGTTTCTTGGTAGACTGGCTTCTATCTCCTGTGCTCTCTTCATTACAGCATTCTTAACTTCGCCATTAACATACACACTTTCGCTGGTCGCCCTCTTGAAGCCAGACTTGGTTGGAACAATCCCTCTTTCCTGTCATAAGCATCAATAGTAAATTATTTTCGAATTTCATGTGCTCAAAGAAAGTAGGATGCCCACTTTGAGTTAAGAATGAGTGTGTTCTCTCTTCTTCATCAGCTCACTATCATACAACGGACTGAGAGCCTTCATAGCCGAAAATGGGGAAGAAAAGGTTGCATCACATCGCTTACCTTTGTATCCTTAATCTTTCACTAGTTACAAACTTCCCAAAAGTATATAGCAAATAGCCAAGAATATGCCTTTTCAAAAACCCATTTTACTACTTCTGCACTCAAACCCCAAAGTGATATTCCTTCAAACAAAAGGTGCTAGTAGTCTAGTACCCAATAGCTGATTAATGAAATTTTGACTAAGAAGTTAGAATCTCAGAACCCACTACAGCCAGTTTATTATAGTAATGACGATGAACTTTCGCTTTGTTGGGACGAGGCAGCTCATTTCAATGATGAAAAATACAGCTTGCCGGAAGCAACCAAAAAGAATCTCAAAAAGCGCATTGACGAATCACCAAACGGAAGCACAATAGAGCAAAGAGTGGTGAGAAGAGAGAAAGAGGAGAAGAGAAGGTGGGTGGGTGGGTGGGTTTCTCACCTGTTTGTTAGAGGACGAAACCTTCACCTTCCCTGGCCTACCCTTCTTCTCCTGCAACTGAACAACGGAGAAGTCAGGCTCAAAGCTTCAAATATGCAGAGCCTATAGCGTAGTAGTGTTGAAAGAAAGAGAAAAACCTGCTCTTTCTTCACTTGAGGAACGGTCATGGTTGTGGCAGTGGTAGCGATCGGTCCGTCTGGTTTATTTCTATTTTTGGTTGAGCTTTGTGATCAGAGGACCAGAATGGTGGACAAGAGAGGGAAGAACAGTGAAAAAAACAGGGGAGTTGGAGCTTTTCAAAATGTTTTTACCCTTTTTCAAAATGGATGTGATGGTGAAATGGTGATGGAGATGGACGGAAGTGAGTGGAGAATGGATTTGTATTTTTTATTTATTTTACTGAAAGTGGGAGAGTGGCTTGTGGAGATTGAAGAGTTGGGGAAGATGGAAGGACGGTTTGGTTCAAAATTCTTGCAAAACATGGAGCTGGGTTGGACTTGTCTGTAGAGAAAGATTGGTTATTGGCCTCGAGATATGATAGTGAACCCTGTAATACATACGAAAACAATGGTTTACATGTTGGGTTGAAAAGGTTTGGGCAATGAATTATGACAATTATGCTTAGAAGATGAAATTGGAAGTTGCCACTATTAAGGGGTTGCTCAACTCCTTAATCAAAGGGTGAGAGCAATCAATCAACAATTCAACACTGGTTTGGAAACAATGTTAGTTAAGGAATGTCTAATTCCTAAATGAATATTAATTTGGAAATGACTACTGTTAACACTATACTAACTATTTTAATTATCATAAATTATTTTAACGTCGAATCTAACCGTATAGAGCCGTTAATTGTTTTATTCAGTATTTAAGATAATGTATTAAGATTTATAGCAAAATTATGATAAAATTGTTAATTTGATTTTATAGCGAAACTTTATTAAGATTTAGTGAATAATGAATAATTTAATGGTAAAAAATATAAGTTCAGTCCACCTACTCCACTAGTCATGTTAAATTATAAAACCGTAATATTAATGTTCAATTCAAACATCTTATATTATTTTAGATATTTAATTACTAATTGGGAATCAAGTTAATATGAAATTCGATATAAGTTGATATTGTAGCAAAATCAAGGTTCAAGAATGCACTTAAGTGTAATGCAACTGACCGACGGTTGAGGTTTTGTCTAGCTCCTAGCTCGCTTAGAGAATGGAAGTAAAATTAGCCGTTTGTAGTATACGATGAATGATATAATAGTTACAACACCTTTTCAGTTTAATTCAAATAATTAATAACTTACTTAATCGAAAAACATATGTTACAAGTTAATAGTATCATAACTTAATAGTTCACAAAATTCTTAAACTATTGGAAAGAGTGACAGAGAAGATTGAGTATTGATTTTAATTTTCCGTATTACATCTAGGTGTCGCCTTACTTTATTACCACAATCTCAATATTTAACTTGTCACATAACCCCTAAACAATATATTTTGGAATTTCTAGTGTTACGGCGCGTTTAAGTGTAAGGTTAACTAGACATATTTCTTAACCACGAGCAAAATATTTCGGAATTGCCTTACTTTACCGTATTATAGGTGTCGCCTTACTTTATTACCACAATCTCAATATTTAACTTGTCACAAAACCCCTAAACAATATATTTTGGAATTTTTAGTGTTACGGCGCGTTTAAGTCTAAGGTTAACTAGACACATTTTTTAACCACGAGCAAAATATTTCGGAATTGAAATGATAGTACCGAAATATACTTATTTTGGTGCGTTTTTGTATAGAGTCTGAGTAAATTTAAGGGGGCTAAAATGACTTACCGTAGAAGTACATTGGGGATGTAGATTGTAGATAGTAGATACGACTATCACTTTTGTTCCCAGTTCCACTTCCTTTCACTCTCTGGAAAACGAGAAAGGTTTTTACTTTCTAGCTCCGACGACTAGAACCCTACTCAGAGCTCAGCTGACACCGCTCTTCCATCCATGAAATTCCCCCTTCGTTCCATTCTCGGTACACCCTTGCACTAAATCCGATAAAAGCTACGTTTTTTCGTTCCGTCATTCCGTCTAGTACTGATCTCCAATGTTGTGTACCCCCGCAGGTGCCTGGCCGGCGGTCATCCGAGCTCTGGGCCGCCGGAACTTCGCCGCAGCCGCTTCTACGGAGGAATACGCCAAGCGGAATTATGCCAATAATGTCTCCGAATACAACACCGTCGTTGCTTCCCTCACTTCTCAGCGGAGGTTTTCCCTTGCTCCTCCTCCTCCCCCTTATTTTTTCGTGTCTGAATCAGTCTGTTGGGAATTGAATCATTGTGAGAAATTTATTTCCTTTTTTTCTGAAGGGGTTATTTGTTGAGAGATGTCTACGATGATATGGTGCTGGATGGAGTGCAGCCGGGTCGAGATGTCTTCCATTCTTTGATTGTTGGAACCATGAAAAGTGCTCGCTTGCAGGATGCTTTCTACTTCAGAGATGAAATGAAAGCTATGGGCTTGGTTCCCGATGTAGGTTTTCTACATCTTCTCTAGATGATCTTATCTCATTGTTTATCGTTTCATAATACTTGCCTTGAAGTTTGGAGCTTGAACTGATACTAAATGTCATGATGGTTAGTTAGGTGAACCTGTATTAGCCCACCCTGATATGTTGGAGTAGAACGCGGCATTGTTTCATTTCTTTGACTGATTGGATGTTACGATTTTCTATGTTGTAGGTAGCGGTGTACAATTTCTTAATTTCGATGTGTGGCAAGTGCAAGAACTCTGACCAAGCAATTCAGGTTGGTTGATGCTGTTGTGAGTTTTCTAGCAAGGCTTATTAACCTTCTTGTACCCTTTTTATGCTCACTAGCCATTGCTTGGGCTGTATTTGACATTTTCCGAATCATTTTACCCATATCTTTGATGAAGATTTTAGAAGAAATGAAGAGATCCGAAGTGAAGCCAAATGGACAAACCTTTGTGTGTCTACTCAATGCCTGTGCAGCAACTGGCCGGCTAGATCGTGTGTATGTAATTCTTTCCTTATGTTAGCACGAGGATCTCTCTTTCCAATTTGTTTGATATCTCCATTTCACTGATGCTTAGTTTGTAAGGTTAGTAATTTACTTGGTGCTTCTTTGCTGCAGTTTGTTGTATATGGGCCAATCCACTAGCAAAGTTGTTGAAATGATATTTGATTAGTAAACTCTCGTCCCAATAATTTGTTGGGCTGAGCAGTAGTTGAAAAGCTTGTATCAAGGTTCATACTTCATAAGCACAATTCTATTTATTTTACATGGTATAGGTATGCAATTGTCCGTGATATGACTGCAGCTGGCGCTGGCTTGAACAAGACACCTCGTGGAGATGATACAGCCAGCAAGGTAGTTGTAGTAATTTTTTGTCATCCACAATTGCCTCTCTCTTTATGATGTCTGTAACTATTTTAATTGAATGTCTTTCCTCTCAATGGCAGATTATTGAGTTAGTCGAGCAATCAAAGGGATGGTCATCGGTTGATGGAGCAACTTATGCTGCTGAAAATGTGGCGAGGGGTGTATCTGAAGAGGAGTTATATAATTTGCCAACAGCTGAATACATTCATCGGCGTGGAGGGTTCTTGAACAAGAAACTAACTGTGTATCATGTTGCACTCCATGCTTGTGCAGAACTGAAAGATGTACAGGTATATATCCCACGTCTGCAAATACACCATAATATTCTTTCAGTAACTAAGCCAAAGCCAAACTTTCACGAGCTTCTTTCACTTGATATTTTCGATTCGGTCCTCATAGGATACGGAAGTTTTGTTGGAGATGCTTCAGAAGGACAAAGAATCTCCTGATGTCTTCATTCTAATGCAAACAATGAGGTAAGTTTGTTTATCGGAAATCAGGTATATTAACTCGTACGTTAGAACCATATACTGGTTAGCTGAAGTGAAGTGCACTTTCATTTAGTTTGTCTACCAGCTGAATGTAAATATCTTGTTTGCTCCTTTTCATTTTGGAAAAACGTTCCTTCTTTTTTAATTCTAGGTGCCATCTACAATGTGGCGATCTGGATCGTGGTCTTGCTATCTTTGAAGAGTACATGAATTCTGGCAAACCTAATATGATGGAGCTCTATTTGGTGAGTTTCAATACATGTAGTACCTATAACACAAGGAGCGCTTTGTCATATCTCCCTTAGTATGGATCTTCACTGTTTTTCCTTACTATTTCTGGGACAATTTCAATAGCTTATTTAGAAACAAAGTGTGGACATTCCGATGAAGACAAGCTTCGGTTTTGATTTCCTTGTGGGAAGATAGGAAACTGTAGGAATTGGATAGCAGTGCAAGAGCATCTGAACTTGTTGCTTATATCCATGTTCCTATTATTATTAGTTATATTTTCTTTGTATTCCCTGTCCTCTTATTTTTAATCCTCCCGCTGCGGAAGCCTTCTATGTCATGGTGCAAGCATCATTAAGCCTTGATTTTTTCTCTCTGGATTTTGATTGTGTAGACTCTTATAGAGGGAGCCATGGTAGGATATACTCCCAAGGGAATGCAACTTGCACAAGACACACTGGTACATAAATCGCTTTATTCTTGCTTGCCAGTTTTTGTCGATGTTACGAATTTCACTCACACCCCATGCTTGGTTGGAAAATGCAGGTAAAACTGACCGAGAAGAATTACTTTTTGAATCCCAAAATCGGAAGCGATCTCCTTCTTGTAGCAGCTGGTGAAGAGGTAATTGCAACGCTATCTACACCATTCCGACTCATCAAATCGGTTTCTTACCTTCAAATGAATTCCTTTTGCAGACCGGTGGGTACACGACTGCCAATTACATATGGGACTTGATGCAAGCTCGTAACATGATACCCACCTTCCCTGCCGTGGAAGCATACTACAAAGGCTTGAAGGTGGGTCTTCTCTCTTGCTATTCTCCTTGTTGTATTATGATGCATTGCCAAATCAATCTTTCCATTGCATAACTACTCTCAAATTTCCTCTGTGCTGCTTCATCTTCTTACTGTTCTTTCCCCCCCCCCCCTTTCAGAAACGGGATATACCTGAAGATGATGCTAGGCTGCTGCTCGTTTCTCGTACTTATGACAATCTGCTTGTCAAATTCGGGCCAAGACCAGGGGTTACGACGAATAGGCCTCCGAGAACTGCCGAGCCAGAGATGGAGCAGAAACCCTCTTCAGTAACGGAAGCCAACCAAGCATAGGCCCTCTTTACATGACGCAAGTGGATCAAAAGTCTTCGTTATTGGCTCCACTTTAAAAGACAATTTCACAGAGATACCAGACTGTTTTTCCTTGTAGCCCTTTTTGGGAGGAGGAAACACCACATGACATAATTGTAGGAGTTCCATGATAAGCTTGATTGATGCTCTTCCATTTCCATACCAGTTAGGAATCAAAATTTTATGTTTTGTCCATCAATTCGATTCTTGAATCTCTCGTTTCTTACGAAGCATTTGACAATGGTGACTCTGAATGGAGTGAATCTTTTTTATTGCTTGAAGAAGGGCATTAGTTTATCGTTTGAGTTTATTCGGAGAAGAGTGGATAATTCAAGTACGATCCTTCTTGGTTTGTGCAACTTGTGATTTGGGATGATGTGTTTATCAAATGTGACGAACCTCGTTAGTAACGAATGAATAAAAGTCGTAGCAGTATGAGAACTTGTTTGTTAAAATTTTATAATACAAGGATGTAAATTGGTAAACCATCGAGAAAAATGACCCATAAGTCATTAACTAACAAAAGAAGAGCGCACCATAATCGCCGCCAGTTTCTCGCAAGGTCTTTGAAGGGAAAGCCTTCAGCTTCCGCCATAACCAGCGTGAGAGCGAAAACGTCTTCGCCCCCCGAAAGTTTCAGTCGGAGTTGCTCGCCGTTCTCGGCCGCCGTTGCAACTCTTCCTTTGATCGCTTTCCCTCCTCCCATGTCTGCTATTTGTTGAACATTAGACTCCTCATCTCGACGGCGGCGGACGACCGGGTTTTAGCTGCTGTCTGTGCTTTTACGCGCCGCCGCCTTTCAGCAAAATCGTAGGGGCGGTTGCCGAACGAGTTTTCCCCGGCTAACGATTGAAGTGGCTCCCTGAAAGAGAATCAAGGTAGATTATTATTCTTTCTGTGATAGCCAACTCAATTTATTTGCCTCTGACATTCTCTGAACCGGGGTTTGAATTGGAATCCAAACTACAGTACTTTCCTTCCCTTCCTTCTGTATTTCGTTTCCCTTAGACTCTTAAAGATGCAAAGTCTTTTCTTTGTGGCTGAATGGTTTATCTCTGTGCTGTGTTGAATTATTTGTAATGGTTGTAACCTTGTGGTAGAACTAATTATGACTCTGAAACTTGCTCTTAGTTCGTAGAATCCGAAGATTGTTACTCATCCAAAGTACTGCTGCGTTTATATTAGTGAAAGATTTGTATCTTGGCGTGCTTAGTGATATTCCCTGTCATCGGTATGATTTAGCTTTTGACATCGTTGTGTTGGATACTGACTTGGCGGGACTGTTGATTGCCCACTCTCAGTTTCTTCTTGGCCAGAATGGAGGTAGAAGAGCTCGAAGCTAATGGAATGAGTTTGAAGGGTGGTGCAGATATGAGTCCGGGTGAGGGGAAGTCGAACAGATTGAAAAGCAACAAGAAGAAGTGGATGCAAGAGGTTGGAATGATTGAAGTAGAGAAACATGTCAATGGTGACAACACCGAAGAAGACTATGATGTTGAAGGGAGCCGAACAAGGCTGAAAAGTGGGAAGAAGAAAATGATGAAGAATACCGAAGTTGGTGGTGATGAGACTTGTGAGGAAGAGGTGAAGAAGGGGAGCAAGAGAAAGAAACAGCAGTTATTAGAAGAAACTGAACGGGATGAGGAGGGAGAGAATGATGTCGATGGAGGTATTGGTCCAGATTCCGTTGATGATACTACGGAATCTCTGAACAATGAGCGAAAGCAGTCGTTAGTTGGTGATAAAAAGGAGAGAATGAAGAGAGAGAAGAAGAAGCAGCGTTTGTTAGAGGAAACAGCCAAGGCTGATAGGCGTGGAGTTTGTTATTTGAGCCGAATTCCTCCTCACATGGATCCTGCAAAGCTCCGTCATGCTCTCTCACAGTATGGTGAAATCCAGAGGATCTATCTTGTACCAGAAGGTGATTGAATTTTCTGCACTTTGATCTTTCTGTTCATTTTTTTGCTTGTGTTGATTACGTTCTGTGGTTTCTGTAATGGCATTCGACCTCTGGTGAATTTTTGGATTGAATCCTTCCTTTTCCCTATCTGCTTTCAGACTCAAATCCGCTACATTTTCAGAAGAAAGCTGCTAAGCATAGGATGCAATCATTCGCAGAAGGGTATGTTTGATCTTAAGCATTCTAGTTTGAATAAATCCCTTGATGGGGTTGTTGATTTCCAACTAGATTGTTTTTCTTATTTCGCACATTTTCTTGAATTTGGAATGTTGATTGTGATTTAGATGTAAATTCTTATGTTTTTTTTTTTACGTTGCAGGTGGGTGGAATTTACTGATAAAGTTGTGGCAAAAAGAGTTGCAAACATGTTAAACGGCGAACAAATGGGTAAGGGATTCAATATATACATCTGCTGTCTTCATTATCTCTATATTGTTATGTTAGAGCAGTATGGTAGTAATGGTATCGATAGTTACATCTTTCATTTTACATGTGAAGATTTAGTGTCACATTTTTACTCCCTTTGTTGTCCTCTTCAGGTGGGAAGAAGAGATCGCAGTTCTATTTCGATACGTGGAACATCAAGTACTTGAGTAAATTCAAGTGGGATGATCTGACAGAGGAGATTGGTATGAAACTCATTTCCTCTTCCTTTTGCAAACTGAGTTCTTTTACTTGTCTTTGGCTCACATCCCGTTGGAAATGCAGCTATAAAGAGAGCCGTCAGAGAACAGAAGCTAGCTTTAGAACTTTCTGCTGCAAAGAGGGAACGCGATTTCTATCTCTCCAAAGTTGAGAAATCAATCGCTCTTACTAACATAGAAGAACGGCTGAAGAAGGTAAAAAATGTGCAATCTTTACTAACCATCGGGGATAGATCTAGTTTTGGCTTAACCTATAATGTAGATTAAGTATGAACTTAACTTTTTGTAAGCTACTGTCGGTAGTTGGTTGCAGTGACAGTGATCTCTATAGTAGTAGGCTCTGGCGTCTGTAGGGAGTTAGTGTAGGTGCTCTTTGGTAGCTGCTGATTTCAGTAGTATGTTTTTCGAGACCTTGTCCTAGTTTGGTCAGGTGGAGCAATATGAAGATCAAAACAATTACCAAAAAAGAAACCATCTTTGATCACTACATCACCATCTCACGATACCCTTTTCTTCCCAATGGTTCTGCAGAAGCAAAAGGCACAAGAACCACCAAGGGTAATCCGCCGAATGCCACAGAAAAAGCCAGTGACTGAGAAAGCAGAGGAGAAGAAATCTAAAATCTCTATGGATGTCCTGGCGGGAGTAAGTCATTTTTCTTCCACCCAACAAAATTCATTCCCATGTAATATTTATTTTGCTACCTAAGGCTCATTGATAGCCGCTTTCTGTTTTCTTCAGGTGTTTGGGGGTTCTTCTGGGTGACATCTTTGGTACCCCCTTCAGTTGCTGTCATGAGGTCTGCAGCTTTCTGGGAAACGCCTGAACGCTGTTTCCGAAGTGCCTTGTGGGTTAAGTTATCTCTTTTCAGGTTTCCTTACGCACTGCGATATTGTCGAGGAAGAGGGAATGCATCTATATCCGAATTTCGAGGGCTTTCTTGAAGATGGTTGATAAATGTAGTGTGAGTGAAAAGGGCAGTTATTCTGAAACTTGGGACTGGGGAGTGGGGAGTTCTCAACCTGGCAATAGGTTAAAATGTTTAGTTGGAGTTGGTCGGATGTAGAAGAAGAGTGATGTAAACGCAATATATTGGTGAAAACTCTTGGTTTACTAAAATGCACAATTATCCATTGGGTAATTGGAGTATTGTGTCTCGATTCTTTGATGTGGTCTTTTTTAGTTTTTGTCGATTTAAAGTAGACAACTATGAACAAAATATCTCATTTGAATGCAACTTGATTACTTCAAAGGAAGCCACAGGAAGTTGACGAAGACTAATCTCCTCATAATTTTTTATCGTGAAAATAGGCTATTCGAGTTTCTGTGTTTACTTGTACCAAATAATTGTTTGGCTAAAAAACAAGATGTGAATCTTGACCTATGTTACCTTCTTTCAACCATTATGAGTGGAGAGAATTTATAAAAATATGAGAATGACTTTTATTTTTTTGATGAGATATGAGAATGACTTTTGGTTTATACTTTCGAAAATCAAGTTAGTTCTTAATTTAAAATATATGAAGATAATATTTAGTACTACAAAATTTTAAGAGAAACATAAGTGTGAAGTTTAAAGGGTTTGATACTCCTTGGATAGGAAACCCTCATTGGCTCACAAGTGTTAAGCATCTTTATGAACGAACTTATGCCATCACTAAAATCAAACAACACTTGTTTTTGTGGTAAAATCAAAAATGGTGCAGTGATATGTAAGATAGGACTCTTTTAGTATAAAGCTTTCTCAACAACAAAAGCCCGTTAGTGATATGTAACCTAGCAGTGTTTTAGTATAAAGCTTTCTCAACAACAAAAGCCCGTCTAGCTCAGTTGGTAGAGCGCAAGGCTCTTAACCTTGTGGTCGTGGGTTCGAGCCCCACGGTGGGCGCTTCATTTTTTCCTTTTTCCTGCCTTAACATGAACAACTTTGATCTTCCTCCAATTAGATATGATCTAATACGGCTTAATTGCAAGTTTGGTCACTCGAATTGCTTAAAAATTTCACGTTTGCCACCCGAATTGATTTATTCCATTTATAGTCACTCGAATTAGTTGAACAGTCCAAGTATGGTCACTCTCCGTTAACCTCCGTTAATGACGACCGTTAAGTGATGACGTGGCTAACAGAAAGACACAGTCAGCACATTTAAACATTAAAAAAAGACAACCCGACCCGCCAGCTCACCCTTACCCGCCCAGTCAGCCATTCTTGCCCAAACCCGCGAACCAGACCCAATTAACTGACCCTAAACCCAAACCAGTGACCCAACCTCCCCTGAAAACTAAACGCAGATGGATTAGGGCATTTCCCTTCTCCATCTTCATCCTCTCATCCTCCCTCCCGCGCCGCCTCTCTACTTTGCAAATCGTCGTCGAAAATCGTCGTCGAAGGGATGGAGGCCGCCGCCCTAAATCCCTCACCCCTCCCGCGAAGTTCTTCATCCGCCGCGAAACCCTAAATCGAAGCGCGCTGCTGTTTTCCCCCTTCAACGAGACTAGTTTGCTTTTTCGGAAAAACAAGCAAGGAAAGGAATGGATTGGAAATCCGTTATTTTACTCACTCCCAATGAATTCTACTTTGGGCATATTTTTTTATGTTTGAGTTTGATAGGTGGAATAATAAGAGGAGGAACGGAACGAATCTACGCGCGCCTTTTTTCTCAACTCAACTACTCCCGGCCTTTTCACGTAATCCCCAAATTTTTTTTTTTCTGCTTGGCGAGTTTATCGGATCTGGAAAACAATTCCGTTAATCCAATTATTCTTCTCTTTCTTTTCCCCTTCCAGTTTCCATCTCTTTTCTCCGCCATTCCCCCCCAAAAAAGAAAGCCTCGCCATTGTTGGAGGTGGAGGTGGAGGTGGAGGGGTGGGAGGAGGAAGGGGAGGAGTCGCCGCCGGTGACCATGGACAACATAGCGTCGCAGCTGAAGCGGGGGATATGTTTTCAGGGGGGTTGGGTCACTGGTTTGGGTTTAGGGTCAGTTAATTGGGTCTGGTTCGCGGGTTTAGGCAAGAATGGCTGACTGGGCGGGTAAGGGTGAGCTGGCGGGTCGGGTTGTCTTTTTTTAATGTTTAAATGTGCTGACTGTGTCTTTCTGTTAGCCACGTCATCACTTAACGGCCGTCATTAACTGATGTTAACGGAGGTTAACGGAGAGTGACCATACTTGGACTGTTCAACTAATTCGAGTGACTATAAATGGAATAAATCAATTCGGGTGGCAAACGTGAAATTTTTAAGCAATTCGAGTGACCAAACTTGCAATTAAGCCGATCTAATACACTTATGACTGCATCGATAAAATAAATCTTCCAGAGTCAAATTTGAAAGTACACCTCAATAACCTCAGCAGCAGCTTGATGTGCTTATCGATTAATGGTTTCTTAAAAGTGTACATACGAATTGGCACGCAAGAGTGGAAAAACAGCTAATTCAATTTTCTTTCTGGTATACTACTGGGGGGAAAATTGGGGGAAGGCAGGGAACAGAGGGGGCAAATCAAGGAAACAAAACTTGCTTTCCCTCCTCTCAAGGTTCTTCTATCTGACATGTTACAGTTAAAAACTATAGTTGGAACCTCGGAATGACTGGCATAAAATTTCTAACGATACTTTTAGCCGAGAACTTCCTTGATCTTCGTCTTCTGCTCCTGCGTCAATGAATTAGGGAAGAGAACCTCGAACGTCACATAGAGGTCGCCTTTCTTGTTGCTTGCGTACAGAGGCATCCCCTCCCCCTTGATCTTCTTTACTTCTTTTGGCTTAGTGATTCCCTGAGAGCATATTGGGAATGAGTTACTGTTCCGTGCTAGCATACTCCAGGATTTGGGGTTCAAATGAAAAGAGGGGGAGTTGATTATGTGGTTTACCTGTGAGCCTATGTCGACCAGATGCTCATCGAGGTGCTTGATCTTCTTCTCAAAGCCAACGAGGGCTTGAACCTGGTGGGATACATTTCAGGCATTCTTTCCCCAGTTAAATAGAAAGATCTTAGAGGGGAAAGGAAGGAAAAGACGACGTCTCTTGAGTTAGTCGCAGAATTACCAGTGTGATGGTGACTGTGGTGTGCAAGTCGTTGCCTTTCCTTGTGAAAACGTCATGAGGTGATGTGTGAATGCGGAACTGTATAAAATATGATAGGACAGTGGTGAATTTTTGCTGCTGCATAAAGAGAAGAAGACCACAGTTGAGAAAACAAACCTTCAAATCTCCTGGTTCCCCATCTATCTTGGGCTCACCATCTTCATAGAAAACAACCTCCTGCAACAGTCATCCATCCACACATTACATCCAAATCAATTGGACCAATGCTACAAATCCACTGATGTACTAGTATGTACACACAAGAAGTGTAGCACAATTCCAATACAAATAGAATATAAGTAGGATCATGATTGAAGTTATGATCTTCCAGCCCTAACTAGCAAGAGTCCCACTATATGAAACAGCTCCATTCTAGGAACAGAATCAAGATGGTTTTACAGAAAGTCTCCAACTTCAAGCCCTATGTGTACCAGGAAATGATAGTGCATGAAAGTTCATTCTGGACAAGAAATAGTCCAAAAAGTTCAACAGTCTCCTAAACTGCATTTACTAAGAGAGAAAGAAAAGGATGACACAGGGGACTTCTACCAATCCGAAGAGGGAAAACCTCAAAAGTTAAACTAGACTACTTCCCTAAATAGGTGATCGGTAGTGGAAACTGCTGAAAGTAAGAAAGCAGGTCAAATACTCTTCTCCAGCCATACATCCAGTAAGGAAAATTATTTACATCCTGAAACTTACTTGTCCATCTTGCATTCCTTTTTCAATATCAACTGTGAGAGAATACCCTTCCCGCTCAAATTTGATATTTTGGCATTGATCACAGACCTGCAAGAAATTAATAAGAGATGCATATGAAACTTGAAGCATTCTACAGGAAGAAAAAGCATCCAATTGCCAGAACTCCATTAGCAGCATGCGGCTTAGATCACTTGTAAGAAAATGTAACAAGTAATCCAACAGACTCTCCAGCCATCATATACCTGCTCTGTCATTTGCTGGAACATCCCTGGACCAATTTGTCTATGATAGACCTCATTTCTGCAGTTACATCGTCTTTTCCCTGGGGCTGGCTTGATAACATTCTTCTCTCTCCACACCTACCGAAAAACACAGTAAATATGGTGAGAACTTAACCACCACACTAACCCAATCATCTTCTTAAATAGCAAGATATACAGAAATGCATGATACATAAGCCATAAAAATTCTTCTTCTGCTTCATGGTTACACAAGATAAAGAAATTTCTAACGCAAATCAACGACCCTACACCCGATGAAGAAATAGAGTCCATTGCTTGCTAGCCGCGGCTAACTGATTTACTCAACACATCTGTAGGAAGGAAGTTCCCTTTCTAAGTACAACAACAGAGACTAGTAAACATGGCCTATAAAAAGCTAGCACCTTTACAATGATAGAACTCATTAGCATTTCGCATTGCTGGTTAGAAGCATAGATTAGAATGCCTAATCCTACCTGCATTGAACCACCCATGTACAAATCTTCCAATGTGGCGTCCAAATCAACAATGACATCATCACCCTTTTGGATTCTCTCTTCCTCCTCTTCCGATTGACCTCCTCCGCCAAAGAATCTAGAGCAAAGAATACCATGTCAGGACTCCAGATATCTAAAACAAGCAGAGAATACGAGAAGAAAAGAAAAAAACGTACTGCTCGAAAATGTTCTGCATGTTCATTCCTCCACCGCCACCTCCATTGGCCATATGCTGCCTAAGCCCTTCCTCCCCATAAGCATCGTAAATCTTCCGCTTCTCGCCGTCGGACAACGTCTCATAAGCTAAACCAAGGGGAATACAAAATCGCTCAAGATTCAAGCAAAACAATTTCAATCTGAAAAAAAGAGCAGATGGATACAGAGAGTACAATGTCCACCAAATCCAATCTATACCGTTGCTAATCTCTGCGAATTTCTTATTAGCTTCCTCATTCCCCTGGTTCTTATCGGGATGATACTTCAACGCCAGCTTCCTGTAAGCTCGCTTGATCTGATCGTCCGACGCACCTTTGGGCACTTGCAACACATCGTAGTAGCTCTTCCTGCGACATCTCAAAATCCAAAATCATCAAATATGATTTCCCCACAGCTGATTTCAGACGAAAAAAATTGGGGAGAGGCTACTAAAAGAACCGTACCCGGCAATGGTGACGAGAGCGTAGGACAGTGCGCATAGCAAGAAGAAGAGCTTCACCGCTCGGCGCGCCATTACGTGGAGAAACGAGGGAGAGAGGCTGGATCTCTCCGACCACCGTCGGAGGCGAAAGTCCTGAGTTTCCGGCTTGGAGATCTTCCTTCCTTCCTTCCTTCTCCTTCTACTGATACTGGTTGAAGCTTTGGTGCGGTGGGAACTGGGAAACAATGGAGGAGGGAAACTTTGTCTCCTGAAACTCGGGGAGTCTGCTTGCTTGCTGATGGTGGTGGTGAGTCAAGTCAGTGAGTCGAACCGGGAACCAAAACGACTTGCTTTTTGGGTTATACGTGTAGATGCCAAGCCTGGCCAATGAGATAGAGGCAAGTAGGTGGGATGGCCAATGAGTGCTTGCCACGTCAGAATTAGTATTCCAGACAGTTTCTCTTCCCCGGTTAACGAGTTGAATGATTAATTACATAAATGGTCATCAAAAGTTTTTTGGGGTTGCTATTGGTGACTAAACTTCGATTCTTAACAAACTTATCACTCTAGTAGTCAAGTTTATCTCAAGCAGCATCATCAGGAACAACTAGCGTAATGTAGCTGATACTAATTTGGAGAACCAGACTTCACTATTGAGTATTGCATGAAGATGAAAGAAGTGAGATTGATACTAGTTTCTCCAAGGGGTCATTTGGATGCAGGTTTTGGGTGTGGGATTTGGCCACAATCCTACATAATATGAGATTTTATTAAAATCACTCGTTTGGAAAGCAATTATATGATAAGAGATTTTAAATATTAGAGATTTCAGAAACCCACAATTGTGGGATTATGAAATAGCTGATGGTGATAAGCTATTTTAAAATCCCACACAAATCCCATAAATTAAAAACCTAGGTTTTTAAACCAGTGATTTGAGCCAAAATCCCACAAATTAAAAACCTGGATCCAAATGACCCCCAAGACAATAACAAATTTGTTAGAAGTTAAATTTGGTTTTCTTTTTGCTTTGTGGATCGATAAGCTTTTACTTTTAGAGAGCATAATGAATCAATATCGAAAACAAAATGCTTGAGGATACTCACTTCTTGATCTCGGCTTGCGATTGCATAAGACTAACTAGACAAATTTTCTATGCTAATCAGTTTGAAAATGTAGCTCCAAATGCATGCTATGGATGCACTTGGAAATGCACATCCAAGAATTTGATCCAAAGATATAATAGAACCTCCTCCACCTTGGTTTCTCGAGTCCATTTCATCATTCTCCAACTAAATTCAAGAGAGTCGGAGAACAAAGAGAACTGAAAATAAAGATGCTACATACTAATCACATAAAACAGTCTCCAAAAGATCCCCGAGCATTTGCAATTCAGCGAAATCGACATCACATTGGGTCCTCAAGTTCTCGAAACTAATCGGTAAAAGTACAGTGATCTCCAAACAAAGCTCTGTCATTCTGTCCTTCACTCTTCCATAGCATCACCAGCCTCAACCACTTGAGCTAACTCCTTCAGTGGGGTAATCTTCGTTGAGAGGACCTCTGCAACACATATCAATAGCAGTATATAAATTATAAGTGATTTGAAATCAGTAAAAATAACTCAGATCGCATTCAACCAGGCAGAGAAAGGGTTCCTTCCATTTCAGCATGAATAGTAGTTGAACATAATTTTCGGAAAAACTCAAAATCCTGATGGGATTGTCATAGACGCATAGTTACACCAAGTACCAGTACTTATAGCTTGCACATACTAACCATACCATGGTACTTGAAAAAAAAAGGGCTATGAACAGCTGCTTAGATCACAACATCCAGGTCACCAAATCAAGGTTTAAGTTTCACAAGTCACACCCAATTTGAGAATAATACAAAATGAAACTAGCATGCAAACTGTGAGACGATAGGAGAAACTGTTCCAAATTCTAATCTGTTTCAATGAAGAGCGGAAACAAGAATTTGAAGCACATGGCTCCAGATAGTGCTATATGCTTATTTGTTGAAGTAGGGATAATGATACCAACCTATCTTCTTGGGGAAGGTGTATGCCCTCGCACTGACGTATGTGCGTGGATTGGGTTTTAAGTGGTTTCTCATGTATTTTTTTCCCCCCTGTTCCATAACCATTTAGGACAAAGTTAAATTGGTACAAACTGAAGGATCGTCCTAGAAACTGAAATATATCAGGTAATAATTTGCCCACCTTTGTAATGACACAAACATCAACATTGCTTCCACTTCCCAAGTCATTGAATATACCAGAACATATGGCCTCAGTCACAAGCTTTATTCCTTCCTCCTTCTGAAAATATCATGAGTAACTCAGTAAGTTTTAAGTGATCAAGATTATAGTAGGGTAACCAATAATTATATGCAACTGCTAATTGCTTGTAAAAATTGGTATATACACCTCGCATTAACACAACTTACATTCAGGCCTTCCTTGTACTTCGACTCGAACACAGCCATTGCAGCAAGAGAACCAGAACCCATTGTGGCAAAAGGCAAAGTGTCTGTTGATCCATGGGGATATATCTGCAAAGGACAGAAGTTAATAAGTCATCAAGTCTCCTCACAAGTCATATGAAAAAGAATGCCATGCACATTCTGCTGAACAGAAGAAGACTCACCGTGTGTAGATGAGGCCCAGTGCAATCAACACCACCAAGCACCAAAGCAGCAGAGATGTGACCTTGGTAACTGAAGAACAATGTGCAGGCAGAATAATGAACTCAGTTGCCTTAAAAAAAGGTCATTGCAGAAAGCAGAAAGAGTTCAATGTCGAAGACAGGTTACTTGAAAAGATGCTTCTTCAGGAGAGTAAGTGCTGTAATAACCCTCGACTCTCGGCCAGTATGGTAACGATGCAACTGCAGCTGCGAACTCACCATGTCTACACAAAAAATCAATCCAAAGCCACACATTAAACTGGGGTAGTTGAAGAGCTAATGGAGAAGAAGACTTATATAGCGATCAGGCATTAACAACTTTGACAACTGAAACCATACCTGTCACCGACTCAGTATCGGCAGCAGTTCCTGCTCCACAGCAGTAAATGTTAGGCGCCATAAAATGAATCTTCTCACAATTCTTATCACAGACGATGGGTCCAGAAGTAGCTCTAGTATCTGCTCCAAGAATGACACCATCCTATACACCAATTGAAGGGTGGCAACACCAGCTTAAATTAGAGAAATCAAACAAAGAGAGAATCTCTCTTGAGCATGTTCACCGCTCAATCCTCAAATATCCCTGATGCATTCTAGCAATGAGAATCAACAACAAAAATTCACACTCACATGGCTATAGCAAACACTAAAAGAAGCTCAAAGGTTCAATAAAGCACAACTAGATCAAGTGACTAGGAGGGCAACCCATTAAAATCAGCTCAAATCAAACCAACCCTAAGCATAAAAAAACTCCCATCTTTCCAGCTAAAAAATTGAATGGAGACGAGCGTTGCAAGAACCACAAACCTGGAAAATCAAGCCGACAATGGTGGTTCCCGTCTTCCTGTAATTCGGATGCTTGACGCCCTTCCCGGAGAGCATTTCATTCCTCTTGCAGAGATCGAAACTGAACCCACCCTTCGGCGGCGCCTCCACAATCGACGAACTCGACATTCTGACGACTAACGAACTGAAACCAAACATGAGAAAGAAAATTAGGGATTCAGAAGAAAACCAAAACAACGCAAATGGAAAAGGAGGACAAAGCAAACTAACCAATGAAGTGTGAAGTGAAGTTAGGGCGATCGGAGGCGTGCCTGAGAAGGGGAAAAGAAAGGATCGAGCTCTCGAGGTTTTCTTCTTTGGTCTTTAATGGGTTAAGAAGCTGGATTGGCAAAGAAGAAAAGTGTTTGTGAAAATATTCAATTTGAGTGCCTATTAGTTATGGAAGGTTACGACTGATATCTGTATTTTGTAATTGTTTCAATCAAGTTCTCCTGTATGGGCTGGACTCGCACCAGAAGGCCGATGGGCCATGGCCATGGCCATGCTCTTATTTCTTCCTCCTTTATATGGGCTGGACGGTCAAAATAGTTCTGAGTTTTGACAATCATTGAGTAAAGTAAATGTTGTTTTTAAGTTCTAATCCAAATTTTATTATTAAAAAAAACTTACAATCCAAGTTTGTGTAGTTGCTTGGAAAGAGAGATCAAAATCATAATTCTGTAGACAAATCAAGCATTTCATTTCATATACAAAAATATTCATGTAAAAATATCACATGTGCGGCTCTTATTAATAGTGGAGCCATTATACATTTATTAGAGTCTCACCGACCAATACTTCGTATACTCGATTATAATAAGCATGTGTTTCCTATTTTCCGTTGGTCATTCAAGTTCGGTCACAACTTTTTTGGTCTCTCAACCGATCTGAAAAAACTCGACCGCATATCGAATTTCAACGAATACCCACGGACGTGGATTTTTTATTATCGTGGCCTGTGAAAAGAAAGCTAGATTGTGTTATGTTGCAGCCCATATGATGCCCCATACTAATTACTAAATCAATGTAATTGGGATGATCATATAATTTGGACCAATACGACAATATTCCTAGCCTATTTTTCTCATTTGTGGATGGAATGTACATCACAAAAATCAATACTTAATGAGCTGGCCATCTATAAATAAATGATATTTGTGGCACTAACCTCTAAGAAATTATATATGTTACACGAGCGTTTGTATTTGTGTAATATTTGCATCATATTATGTTTAATCAACCTTTAAATTCAAGAAAATTAGAAATAGAAACAAAAATATGTCGATTGTTTTCCCAAAAATAAATCAAACTCCCATATAAAGAAAATGTACAAAAGCACGGCTAAAACAGGAAAAAGCTTTGGTTTACATACTTCAAGATGCATCTATCAAACAATTTATAGAAAATTACAATTATTTTTCTCTAAGAGAATTAAACTTAGGGTAAAAACTCGAATTAATACCACATACCGAAACTAATGTACATAGTCTCTTTCTATTGTATGCCTAATCCTCGATCTAAACATGTGATTCTACCGGCTCAATCTCCACGTGAAGTCCGTTTCGAAACTCCACATACGGATAAGCAATTGGGTACTCATCTTCTTTCACTTTCCACCTATACGTTTAGAAATAAACATATTATAGCATGAATAAGAACAACAACAAAAGCATTTGAAATATCTAATAGAACTAGCTAGAACAACAACAAACGAACACCATGATACCTACACAATTATTCATGCTGCTAAGTGATATAAGCATAAATAGTAGCTAGAGGTACAAGATGTGGGTCATATAAGTAATGATTAGATGTACTAAACCACCAAAGGAATAAAGGTAAGTCATTCCCTAATCGTGACAAAAATGAATGTGTCTAGAGTAGCAATATAAATTAAGTTGAAGAAATTAGATTAATTAAGAGAAGGGGGGTTAATTAATTACGTACCTATAGGTGAGGACAAGATGATGAAGGAAGAAGGCAACCATGACTTTAGCTAGGTCGGATCCTGGACACACCCTTGGTCCACCACCGTACCCCATAGTCTTCTTCCCTATTTCTTTGTCCTCCTTTTATAAATAATCCAAAAGAGAAAATAATAAACATCAAACTTATGATAATAGTGATTAAGATGATACACGAAAGGAATGAATTATAATGATATCAAAATAAGGTATTTTAACTCGAACATTGTGTTCGTTATGTTCTATGTATGAGTTTAATTTTGAACACCAAAGATTATAAAATGAACATATTGAAAATTAGATCAAACCATGCATCGACCAATACAGTAGCTAGTATGTATTGTGAGTAGAGGTGAAAATCTAAGGGCATTTACCGTCCATCTCCAAGGATTAAACTGAAGGTGGTCATGGTGAAGAGACGGGTCGAGATTTGGCCCTGCTAATACAGGAAGCACCTTCCATCCACGAGGAATCAAATGCCCTGCGAGCGTAAAAATATATTATTAATTTAAAAAGTTTTTTTTTTTTTTTTTTTACATCCAACCATTGAGTCCCCAAGGTATTGCCAAATTATTTACGAGTCTTTTGGTAAATGATGATCTACATCAAGTCATCAACTATTAAACATTAACCAACCTTTGAATTCCACGTCTTGGAGTGCCTTGCGGTGTAAAAATTTGACCAAATTCCCACATCTCACAGCTTCTTTTGTCACCTACATACATGCAGCCAGTCACAAAATATTGGATCAATAATATTAAATATACAGAGGATGAAATCAAAGGGAATATTGCAGACAATACTTCAGGAATTTAGTGTAATTATAATCAAAACATTGATAATTACATTGCGGGTGAAGTCCATTTTCTGGTAATCCTCCCACCCCAAGGGCTGCCCTTTGCCTTTGTTCCTCCTTATAGCTTCATGTTCTTCCTGCATTGCACACGTTTCAACAATTCCATCATACACCTTGTTATAGTTATTGTTATCAAGTTCTCTGAATGTAACCAACTGACCGGTTTGATCCGATTGCCATATGAGTTGGGGAAAACCCCATTAGCGAAAAGCAATTGGCCCAACTTTTAGGGGATTGTAATCCGATCAATTTATAACCTGAGTCACACCCTTAATTTGATTTATCTATAACCTGGTTGAACACTTGGCCTAATTAACTTGCAACACTAACGAACCAACCTCGAACCAAACCAAACCAAACCCACCCATTTGTTGTTTCTACTAATATATCAAACTATGAAAATATGACTCATGATTTATCCAACCCATATAACCATATCAACAACTAGCCCTCTAATATAATTGATATTCTCACACATATTTTGATAAATCCCATATATACTTCGTTTCCAATAATTCGAATTGTCGAAACTGTGTACCTTGAAAGCTAGGAGCGCGGCGGGTGAACGGTGGAGGAAGTAGACGATGAGGGAAATGAGGGTGGAAGTGGTCTCGTAGCCACCCAACACAATGTCCAAAACGCTGCTCACTTTCTCGTCATCGTTCATTTGCCTTATGCTGCTGTGCTTCGACAATATCACCTCCAGGAAGTCCCCATTTTCCTCTCCCGACGAGGTCGTCGTAATTCCATCACCACAGTTGCCGTCGTTACTGCAGGTTCTTGCCGGCGCCGGAGTAGTAGTCGTCATTTCCCTTTGCTTTATTATCTCCTTGACCGTCCTCGAAAGCCTTGCCCTCGCCTGTAAAAATTACATTAATCGGGCGTTTGGTTAGTATAATTACAGCATCCTACCTACCTAGAGAGACTAAAAATAAAAGGTCATTACTCACCGCAACTTCCCCTCGCTAATCCTAATCCAATCTTTACCGACCACACGTATTGTTATTACAATAAATATAGACGGTATTGAGTATTGACAACTTACATTTCATCATTCAAAGTCATTTTTATACGAGAATTTTGGTCTTGCGGTCATTAAACTCTCGTAAGTAGGAACTGTTTTTTCGTAGTGCAAAATTCAAATTTGTTACAATAGTTCGAGTAGATTAAGTAATTGGTCACAATCCAATTATATGTTGTGTTTGGTCAATTGTTTCTTATTCATCATAAAAACACGAATAGAAGATTAATTATAAAAAATTCTGATAATTTCATATACGAGATTTCTCGACACCATAAAAATGCGAGCAATTAAATTAGTATGTGCCGAGTCAATTTGAATCAATATTGAATCTTAAAAATAGAGTGACTGAATCTCAAAGTGGATGTTTTCTTCTGTGGTTTCCCGCATACAACGTCAAGTCATGATCTCTATGTTTTCTCTCGTGGTATAATTTCTCTATTTTTCTACATGCTCATTGAATAAGATAAGACGAAGATTCCTCGTTACTGAAAGTAGAAAAGATTTGCACAAATCTCGCATCTTGTCGTTTTTCCTTTTGGTTAACCACCTAAGAACACTCTGAATCTTAGTTTTAGTTGCAATTGGATTACTCGTTAAAAACACAGTATTTTTGGGGGTTGTTACCTTGACAGCTTTGGCATAAGCAGATCCTGGAACGTTTAGTGGCAATGATATGAAGCCTTTCATGTAAGTTCTAAAATCTTGCAAAAACCTCATGGCCACTGGTTCTTCCGGGTCGATGCTCAAAACGGTTTTCACCATCAAACTCAAAGTGAACTGAAAAACCATTATTTAGAAGATTTTGTAACCAAAAAAATTTAGAGAGATCAATCAGAAAAATGGAATCCATGATCAATATTAATCAATGTGGAATTTACTCTTTTTTTGTTTTACCTTTTTCATCTCTTCGAGAAAGGCAATCTCTCTGCGCCCTCTCCACGACTCCAACATTGAGAATGCGAGCTTCTCAATACGAGAGTGAAACACAGGTGAAGATTTGGACATCGCGCTGAAGCTCACTGCGATCCCCCTAAGCTTCCTGTGATGCTCCCCGGAGACGATCAGCAACGAGTACTGCCCGAGAATCCCTTGCATGGCCTTAGGGTAGCTGGCCTGGAATAGCTTTCCCTCATTCTGAAGGATGAACATGTTGAACTCGCTGTCACACGACACTATAGCTGGCGACCCGAACAAATGTGACTTAAAAACTTTGCCATATCTGCACAAACAAATAAAAAAACTAAGATCATGGTGACTGAGATTAATACTACACAGCCTACTCACAATTGTGAGAGTAAAACACATATGTGTGTGGTTTCCCTATCCAAAAATCATTCCATCCCATTGTCAATTGATATGATTCATAATATGGGTTTGCCTACCTTCACCTCCTCAAAATCTCCACACCACATATATATCCCATTTTCGACCGACCCTAACGGAATTGATGGTGTTTATTTTTCAATTGGTGATGATATGACAATAATCATGGTTGTTGGAATTATTACCTTGAGCAACGTTGTTGTAGGAAGGTGCCAATGGAGTTGGATCTATGGGGGCTGAGGAACTCGAGAGTCTCTCCAATGAAGGGCCATCCCATGGTGCCTTTAGGGACATTACAACAACCATTCTTGGGGTGTTTTTGGCGACGGAGAAGGAGTAAAGCCGTCGCTAAAAGGGCTAAAAGGAGAGGGAAGAGTGTTGGAAGATCAAGAGGCATCATATCCATTTTGAGATTCAGAAAAATTGGAACAAGAGAAATTCTCTCTCACTTGTCGCTACTAATCAACTTGTGGTCCTTTTGTTCTGTTTGTGTCTCCCCTTTGAAAGGGGGCAAGGGATTTATATATGTTTGTTATTAAGGAAAGTTTGGTGATAGAATTTGGATTATTTAAGAAAAAAGTTCGATGATAATGTGAATTGATTAGGAAAAAATAGTGTCTATTTTTTCGGGTCTAAGTACATAAAAGGTCACAGAACGTGTAGTTAGGAATGGAATCAATTGAAGTTCAAAGTGTGAGAAATTAAGTAGATACTTTATTTTAAGGATTTGGAGTATCCATTGTGTACATTTTTCCTTTGGATATATATAGCTAGAATTTAATAAATTGACAGTGTGAGGTGTTTATCATATCCAAGTGAAAATTTCTTACCAAAAAAGTATTTCCAAGTACATGAAACTATTATGAAGGTAAGATGCTACTTAAGAGAGTATGATTTTTGTGATAAGTTCCTTTTGGAAAAATGTATCATGTGGGTGCATATATAGTGCATGCATGTCATGTACACATAAAGTACGATTTCTAGCCTTATTGATTCCCGTGGCACGATAAAATAATTTTACTATAAACAAAAATCGACATCATTAAAAAGAAAGAAGAAATGAGTATTGGTCATATCACTTGAGATATCCAATCACAATATATTTTGAATTTCGATTCAACCTATATATTTAGACGATCTTTTGTTTTTATGCAAACAAAATCTGTGGAGAAATGAGAATGACACATGTTCTAGACTCTCATGTCAAAGGTTATTGCATAATATAAGACATAAAAGATAGATAATCTAGAGAAAATGTTAACAGATAAAAGTTAAATAAATTATAAGGCATAAAGTGGAGACTTGATCTCATCTTTAACTCAACAAACTAGACCTCTGAATCCTATTCATTGCATTATACTATGTAGTTTAGGAACCAAATATGAGTTAGTTTGAAGTCAGGAGGGGCTATAGCCCTCTATCAAATTTGAATATTGATAAAATTACATATATAATTCATAACAAATTTAGAAAATATAGTAGTTTATAAGGCCTTAATTTCCCTATCACAATTATCATGATTTAAGTTAATATCCTCATTCAAATTTCTAACTCCACCACGGAAACCAATCTCAACACAACAACTGAAAATTCCTTGCAACTTTGAGTCAAATGACCCTAACCCTCCATAGAAGAAAACCCCACTTAAAACAAACGCAAAGTTATTGGCTATATGCTTGTGTTTGATGGGGATGACTTCAATGCAAGTCCGACCAAAAGAAAATTGTCAACCTATTGTATAACCGCATGTAGCTTCATGGATCATAAAATATTGTGTACGTCTGTTGTCATGATTGTGCTTTCCCTCCCTTGTTTCGTTTCTTCCTACCATTGTCGGGTCCTCTTTCTTATGGTTTCAACAAAAAGGAGTGAGGAGGCAAGAAAAAATGGGGAATTTGGTTTGCCTTTAAGTTGTTTTGAGTATGGCACTCGTGCAATGTCAAATGATTTGGTGGTTTGGACTTTGGTGGGATCGTGTTGTTGTAAGTACTCGATTAAGGGCCTCGTGAAGAAAGTGGTTGCTAAGGACTTGAAGAGGCATTGAACTTGTCCCTATAGTTTGCCTCATGCAATGTAAATTTAGAAATCTCTAAATTGGTCAGACTCATCTTGGCATTTCTAGAACACATAGTCATACAATTCTATACATATGGTGATATTTTCTTAAATATATGGAGTTGCCAGCTATTATGTCACCAAATCAGTAAAATGTACGATTCCTCAATCAAACGACTTGTACACACATAGAATTAAGTGAATTTTATCCTTAACCCAAATTGGTTTTTTTTTTTTGCCATAGCCTTAACCCAAATTGGTTACGCATATGCTTTCAAGAGGAGTGATGTGCAATGTTATGTTAGATAGGACGCTAGAACTGGACATGATCCAATTTGGTATAAATTTGAATTGAATTGATATAAGGACCAAATGCAAAATAAAGGAGATGAAAACCAAATCAAAAGCACGTTTGAACTAATCTGGTCTCGATTAGGCGATTTTATTTGTATTTAATGGGGTTGCAATGAAATTTTGAACAAAAGATAACATTCAAATTAGAGTATCGAAGCAAAATCACACTATGCTTTGAGAAGATCCATTTCCATGGTACATGGTACTCATTCATCATCAAACAAATATGCAAAGACTGGAGAAGAAGAAGAAGAGGGTGACAAAATTCGTTAGTTCAAGTCACATAATTTTGCACCATATATTCCTTATTTTGAACTCTGTGAGCAGTTATTGGTTACAAGAACAGGATGCATCAGCAAATGACCAAATAAAGTACAGCATATCTAAACTAAGATCCTTATGTTAAAGGCACTGGGGATGTCATATGACTAACAACTGGAATTGGGAGGGGAAGCCCAGATCAAGCTCCATATTTTGGAGCCTTCCACAGCTTAAATGCAACTTCATGGAGAAACCGATCAGCTGGTATTACGAGGTTTCCACCATGCTGCAAAACAAAGAAACATCAAGCTTAAACATGGGACATTCATCGCAATATCCTACCAGAACTCAAAACGGTGTAGGTTCAGAACTATGGTGCTATGATGCCAACAAACATATGCTTAGACACCACCAAACGAGGACTATGCCAGAGTGCATGCACGCAGCACTAGTTTGGAAAATGAACTTGCAAAATGAAGCCATGACGTTTACAGGACACTAGCCATTCTAACAAACCTAAGGCAATCCAAAAGCTAAGAGGCAATGCAATGTTGAGCAATAAGGAAAGCTGGAAACAGATAATCAAGTAACGTTCTAAAACCAAAGTAACAGCAGACATACCTCTTTGAAATCTTTAAAAGCAAACACTTGCGCTTTGTCCATTCGGGTCACAGCATATTGCAATTGAGCAACTAACATTGGGCCGTTGTGCCTAATGAATGCAGATTAGATAAAATATAATGATTAACTCACAAGGGCAAGAAACTAGAAAAATCTGTCAGCCGTGTTTTAAACTTCCATGTTCGTACCTGACATCAGGTCGGGGTTGTTCCCCTCTCATGGTGTAACTCTGTCGAGGAAAAAGCCCCAAAAGCTTGGGATTCAGCTCATTATTCGAAATCAAAACCGAAGTTTCAGCACTGTTGATCTCCGAAACGGATCCATAGCTCATCACAAGTGACAAGTGTAGACGCGAGCCAATTGCTGAACCAGGTTGTGCTGCATTCATTATTGCAGCAACTAGAGAATCAATGAAAGCAACAGTCTTGGCACCAAAATCGTCTTTATCACCACCCTCTCTTTCCCCGGCACCCATGTGCACAAACACTAGATCAAATTGATTAGTGTCTACCACATTTCCTTGTTGAAACCCCAGCAGCTTCATCAACTCTAAACCCATAGAATCCGACGAAACATCATCCGATGGCAGTACAGTGAAGCCAAGTTTAACACCAAAAGATTTCAAAGAAGGGTTCTTGGTAACTATGGCAGCCTTCATTCCCACGAACCTGAAGAGCAAGAGGCAAACACGGGTATTTTTGACATGATTTAGTATTAAGTATTTTGATATGAATTGGAAATTGTAAATCGAATGCTACGATACCTATCTGAAATGGATGGAGTTGAGGCGTTATTCTGAAAGAAAAAACCAACAATTTGTCACTAAACCCTTTGCAGCATTGAAGTGACAGAATTCCAAGACCAGAGATCATACCGTGCCCTTGTAAGCGGCATCCCAAGAGTCCATAAGCAAAGCGAATTCCCTAACTATCCTCTCATCCTCAGTTTCTGCACTCCCAATACCAGAAAAGTCTCAGACAGTTACAATACCAATAGCTTTAACCAGAATGCAAAGCAGTACATTCGAATCTCCAAACCTATGTTCCCACCATGAAATTAGAAATTTTCAATCTTTGAAAAATCAAATGAAGCGCAATGCACGCAACAAATACAGCAATTTCAAGTCCCCTATCTAATGTCATGAATTCAGAAATTCCTTCATCAGCAGGGGATGACACACCAAAATAAAAATAAAAATGGAAGAGGGTCGAGTGAGATTGAACCTGATGGAGGGGCATTAGGGAGGCTCAGGAAGCCACAAGAAGCTTTAGATGCAAGCGAGTGGAGATGGACGTGAGATGAATCAACAAAATTAGCCAATCCATCACCGTACAACACCAATGCTCTGCTAGGCAAGTCCGCCATCACGAAAAGTTGGAGGTGAAGATTTGGTGCAGTTCTAGAAAGCCCACACCCCAAATTCGTCCACCCACCACCAGATAACAGAAGGGAGAACAAAACCCAGTACCCTAAATCGACAAATGAGAGAAGAATTACACAATCCGAAGAACAAACCAGCGGAAAAATACAGAATTTTTCTAAAATAATTCACTGAAACAAACCTGGAGAAACAACAGTAGCGGATGGATGATCAGTAAGGAAGGCACAAATTGAACTAAAGAGAGCTACGAATCAATTGGAAAATGAAAGTAATTTGGGGGAGAATCTGATAATGGCGCGCGTAAAAAAGTCCAAAGATTGCAGCTTTTTCGCAGTGGCAGATCAAAGGTGGCGAAAGGAGAGAAAAAGAAGAAATATTCGAACAAAATGGATCCAGTTCATGGGCCTGAACTTGTATCCGGCCCGCCATAAAAGCCCATCCTTAGTTGGGCGTTGGGCCTATGGTTCCTTCCTCTAACCGCCGCTCAACTGTTATCATTTTCCCATCACACAATTCTCCCGGGAACTCAATTCCCACCAAAAAAATGCTCCGCCCATGGCAGCCACCGTCACCGCTGCCGACGGCCATCGCCCACAAAAACACCCCTCCACGGCTGAAATTTCCGAGAGCTTCAGCCTCCACCACGAATGCAAGCGAAGAGGACGACAACAGGTCTCAACCGGGCAAAATCAGGCGCCAGGTTCTGACCCAGCAGGGGCGGGGTAAGCTCGACCTGAGATCGGACAGGGACTTCTACGCCTACCCGAGGTTCGTCACTCACGTCGATGGTGGGTTCATCTCGGCGCTGACGGAGCTCTACAGGCGGAGGCTGCAATCAGGGTCGGAGGTTCTTGACCTGATGAGCTCGTGGGTCAGCCATCTGCCAGAAGAAATGGAGTTCAAGAGAGTGGTGGGTCACGGGCTTAACGCCCAGGAGCTTGCGAGGAATCCTCGTCTGGATTACTTCTTCGTAAAGGATCTTAATCGGGACCAGAGGCTCGAGCTCGAGAGCTCGAGCTTTGATGCTGTTTTGTGCACTGTCAGCGTCCAATATCTGCAGTATCCAGAGCAGGTAGATACTTGAATATATTCGGTCGTGTGTGACATCGAACGCTGAACTGACATAAGCAAGATCAACGACAAAATCAGTAATAAACCTGTGTGCATATACATGATTACACTCAAATGTCGAATATATTTGGGCACAGAAACATAAGACGAAGAAATAATGTCTGATCAATGACTAAAGATGCTACCAAAAGTAGCCACCAAAACTGCACTCAACACATCTCTCTCTTGTGTATGAACACATTTTTCAGGTTTTTGCTGAAATTTTCAGAGTGCTGAGACCAGGAGGAGTGTTCATAGTGAGTTTCAGCAATCGAATGTTCTATGAAAAGGCTATTACTTCGTGGAGAGATGGCAGTGATTACAGCAGAGTGCAGCTCGTGGTACAGTATTTCCAGTCTGTGGTAGGATTCACTGAGGCTGAGGTCGTCAGGAAATCACCTGGTGGCAGGAAGGGAGGAGGAGGAGAGAGGCCATGGTACATGGGGTTGCTCGAATTATTGTCCGGTTCGTCAAAAGATCCCTTCTATGCTGTCATTGCTTACAAGAATTTCAAACCTGTTTATGAATAAACCGACGGTTAGATATATGTCATAGTTTTGTAACGCTATTATATGGTTCAGCATGGTTTTGGCATTACATATTGAACCGTTGGTCACTAGTTTGATCTCCAGTAAGATGTCACAAACAAGAATGCAATGACGCAAAGGAAATATGAGAAATGGCTTTCAGCAACCTCCCAGAAATAGTTTCAAATTTTATCATACCTATTTATCAAGTTATGAACAGTCAAGAATTGGACACTCTCAAAAGGATTCTCAGCTAGCGGGATGACAATAACAGCTGCTTATGGTACGAGTTTCTTAGCGCGATCCACTACTTGAACATAGTAATACAACCTCCAGAGTGTAGTAGTATCCTGGAAAGAAAGGAGAAGTGTCAATACCATTCTGACAAAAGAATATAACATCATTTAGCAGCTATAACTTCTTACTTACCTCCTGCTCCATGTTAACAATGATTTCTTCACATTGCTGCGCTTCTATCGGCTTGTGGCGCTGGACGATATCAGCTATGCGATCAAAATTTGCTGGTGGCAGGTTCCGGATCATCCTTTGAAGCTGCTTCTTCTCTGTGCTGGTCATGGGTCTATATAAGATTCAAGTTGCGAACTTTAGACAATGTGATCAAAACCTAGATTGTGAAGCTATGTTCTCTATATTTGATTCTGAACTTGCTCATATAATTTTGACAATAAGAAAGGAAGCAACCTAATTTTATGTGTAGCATGAACGAAGATACCTGCAAGTAGAAGCTACAGAGTCGAGAAGTTCTTCGAGTTTTTTCTCCATGTGGGCTAGCTGAGAACAAGTCAGTTTCAGCTATCTGTTATCAGCAATTGGAGTATGAAACTTATCCAGGTATACTGAAATTAAGCCACAGGTCGACGAAGGATGGCCTAGATGGCAGAGAAGCAAAACTTTTGTAGAACTTACAGTTGACAATAATTCATCAGAATACTTCTTTATACTCTCTTCAACCAGAGTGCTGTCAGTCCCAAGTAGGAATTCCAGATCGTCATCCCCCTGTAAAATGGTTGCCCCATTCATCGATTGGTCAGGAGACACAAACATCTAAAGCAGACAGATATGGATGGATATGGTCTAAACAACAAATGCAAACAAAGAATCTGAAACTTCATGGCCTCAAATAGCTCCATCTTCGAAAAAGACCAAGGCAATCTTGATTGCCCATGGAACAGTCTTTACTAAAACAAGAAATACAGGAACCAGTTCAGTGGATATACAATGACCTTTTGCTCCTTCCAGATAACGTATCAGAGTTCTCTAACACAGAAAAGATATGTTAACTGATCCCATCTTAAGATAAACAATACTAAAATTACTTTTAGAGAAAAGAATATGAATATATGAACTGTTAAGAAAGATAAACCTCTTCAGAGGACCTAGAATCGATAGGACACACAAGTGCAGTGATACTGCTTGAAGATGAAGATGAGACCTGAGGTATGTTGTCAGCAATCTCTTCTCCATCAGATTTTGTGCCTTCCTTTCCTGCAGCAGAATCTCTGTTCCACAGTTTCTCTTGTAACTGACGCATCGAAATAACAGGATCGAGCATCTGGGTAGATCCGCATACCAATACGGTTCAGTTTATATGAATGCAAGTACATATAAACTAGGCAGTGCTCAGAGAAAAGCAAGAAAGTAAAGAAATAGAAACTTTCAATACGCTAACATGAGATATTTTCGGGTTCAAGCCATGCTACTTTCTGACTATACCAACAGACACACATACACAACACAAACACTCACAGTGATATTTACAATATTCACAGTTCAAGTATCAGATCAATGCTTTATGCTTCAATTCTGTACTGAACTTATTGTATGGAAAGAGAGGAAGACATCCTGACTCTTGAGCAGCAAAGTATCAAAATGACAATTAACACTGCACACCATGGGACACATCCTTCTGTTATCCACTACAGTTGACAGCATAAGGGAAAGAAGATTGAACCTTAGCGAAAAGTGTAGCGAATTAAACCGTTCCAATTGGTTGCCATACCTCATCCACTTCGGGTTTAAGAGCGCTTGCAGCCTGTGGAAGCAATGCATTTAACCTCTCCTTCTTGTACTCTGAAACTCCAGCTCCTATGCTGTTGCTGAACAACGAACGTGAACCACTGAAGCCACGCTGCTCAACCACATCATGGTCTACCCCCTCGCCAGTCCTAGTTCCAGTTGATTCAATGGTTGATAGAGGTAAATCTATCTCTTGTGAGATCAACTCCTTAACTTGAGATGCATAGTAAGCAAAGTAGTCTGGCCCCTCTTTGGTCTGTGCATCCTCCCGACTCACTGGAGTTTCTTTCATCCTGAAACAACAGCCACTGCACAAATCATCAATCAAGAAAAGGAAAACAAAACAAAAATCATCGGTCCAGAAAAATAGAGTCACTGATGCTCAGAGAATTTCTCCAACTCCGTTAATCTCAATATCTCCCCAGCCCTTCCGATTCTCCGGCACATGAAACCGGTCCTGTCGCCATAGCCGCGCAATTTTTGGCGCCGAGACAAAGGGAAAAAAACGCTGTTTTGTTCTTTTCGAAGAACGATTTTTTATAAACGACGCGCATTCGATCCTAAAAGGAGCATAACGGCAGCCGCGATCTCCGATTCTCGAAAAGCACATCAAATACAAAAAAACCCTAGAATTCGTCACCGTCTGCTCAGATTCCGGAAGCAATTTTTTCCTTATGAATGCCTATGCCTGATAAGCAGATGAAGAAGGAAAAAACAAGATTCACAATTACGCAGAGGTAGAGGATGAATGACCTGGCCGGGGAGTTTGTCGGACGGCGAGAAGAAGCGTTAGATGCCCAGTCGGTGCCGTGGAAGATGGCGGGAGAAAACCGGAACAAGGGAGCAAAAGAAATGAGCAGTGAGGTCAGCCAAAATCTGTAGAAGCGAAACGGAAATACAAAGTTCCGCCCCAAAATTAGCAAGTTGCCGGTAAAGTCTTAAACGCACAGTTTTCCCCCTTTTCCGTTTTATCCAATTCCATGACGAGACGAGAGGTATTCCCCCGACCTGACCGACCGCCGTGACGTCTTCCAACGCAACGGCGCGCGTTAGCACAAGTTTGTGGCCACGTCCACCAAAATGGACGACTGTTGCGCCGGAACCCCATTGAAGCTACAGAAAGAGAAACAGAGAGCAAGCAAGTATCAAAATTTATACTTTCCTCTCTTATTTGTCTACTCTTCCCAGCTTTCATGGATTCCTTCAAGAACGCAGAACGGGGGAAAACTCTGTTCAAGGGACGCAAAGGCGAGATTCAGTTCAAAATTCTCTTCCCCAGCAAGCCATTTATCGAGGAGCAATTTTCAGGGCTAGAACAGGAAAAGAGACAATGCTTCGCTCTGTAGCTAATATGGTACTAAAACTAGGCCGCAAGAAAGGTAGTTGATTCCGCTTTTCTGATTGTGATTATATAGGGGCTGGGATATATTGAGTTAGAAAAGCCCTAAAAACGACTGTTTCTTTTGCTCATTCTCTGCCCTTACTGTTGAAGAATGTCGTTCAGAAGAGCGCCAGTCAGAATGCAGAAACCGGCCAAGGGTGGCCGCCTGATGTACTCGAGCTCCGATGATGTTGCGGTGATGAAGCAGCTTGAAGCTGCTCATGCTCCAGATGGGCAGGAGATCGATGTCAAACCTATACTCCGCGTAGTTGAGGACATCTTTGTTCATGCTGACCCAACTCTCGGACCAGTTGCTAGCTCGGTAATTGGTTGTGATGTTAATTCCTTTGTGTTGCTGCTGCTGCTTGCATTATAGTTTCCTTTGCATTGGTGTTCCTTTTTCATGATTTAGTTGCGGGTTTTGATCGTAGGGCACTCCAGTTCATGGTGAAGCCTTGGAGGACCAAGCTCTGCAAGCCAGCATGAGGGATGCTCTTGAATCTTTGGCCTTTGTGATTGATCGAGTTGCTACAGAGGTTTGCTATGATGGTTGTGATTGAATATTTTGGCCTTGGCGATCTTGATTGATTGTTTATCTTTCATTAATTTAGTTCTGCTATCACCACAGATTGCCTGCAAATGCTCGGGAAGTGAGGATGCACATGGTTCTGCAATGGCGATACTGAACATGCTTGCCCACTTCTCATGGGATGCAAAGTTGGTGATAGTATTAGCAGCTTTTGGCATGAACTATGGAGAGTTCTGGCTCATCGCACAGAACTACTCCTCGAATCAGCTAGCGAAAGCAGTGGCGATCCTCAAGCAGTTGCCTGAGATCTTAGAGCTTTCGAATGCACAGAAACCGAGATTCGATGCTGTGAGAAGTGTCATAAAAACAATGCTGGACGTTGGCAAGTGTGTCATTAAGTTTAAGGAACTGCCGTCTCAGTATATTACTTCTGATGTTGAAGCACTATCCACGGCTTTGTCTCATATACCCATTGCTGTCTACTGGACAGCTCGAAGTGTTGTGGCTTGTGCATCACAGATCACTGGCCTCGTAGGACTAGGGCATGGGTAAGTACATTCAATCTACGAAGCCTATGCGTTGGCAGTACGAGCTGTTGCTCGAAGTTATAAGTTCCTGTCGGATGATAGTACAGGAATTTTGAGGAGTATTTGATCTCATTCTTTTTGGTTACAGACACTTAGCGGCAACCACAGAAGCCTGGGAGCTGTCAAGCTTGGGTCACAAACTCAGCAACATGTGCAGCCACCTTGAAGCTCAACTGGGGACTTGCTATAAGCACATTGGTAAGCTTTTCTCTGTTACATTTTATCTACCATGGAAGTTAGAATAAGAAGCACTGATTATGGAGGTGTCACCATATGATTCAGATGAAAAGAAATTCATGGAGTCTTATCAGAGCCTTATCCGTTTGTTTGAGACGACGCAAATCGATAACATGAAGGTTCTCAAGGCATTGATTTATGCAAAGGATGATCTGCAGCCTCTTGTCGATGGTGCCACCAAGAAGAGGGTTCTCTCTGATTCTCTTTCTCTGATTTCAATTTTGTCAATTCTATTTGCAGCCTCTGCAATAATTGAGTGATAATTATGCTAACCTTATAGGCCTATGAATCCTGATATTTGGTCATGGACATATCGTCCTATAGGATTATACTGTAAATATGCCTGCTACCCAGGATGAATCCTCATTGAATCTGTAAATATAGTGAGTTTTTCTTCCTTAAAGGCTAAATCTCCAATAGAAGTTATCCTTGTGGTTGACAATGGCAGGCTCATTTGGATGTCCTACGGAGAAAAATGGTGCTGCTTCTCATATCAGGCCTTGACATCCTGCAAGAGGAGATCGCTATCCTCGAGCAGATATACAATGAAGCTCGGATCGATCCAACGAGACATGACATTCAGTATGAGGTTGTGTGGCTCCCGATCCTCGACCCTGCTGTCCCATGGACCGACGGTAAGCAGAAGCAGTTTGAGAGCCTGCAGGCAACCATGCCTTGGTATTCAGTGTACCATCCATCGATTATCAACCCTGCAGCGATCAAGTTTGTGAAAGAAGAATGGAACTTCGGGGAGAAGACTATTCTCGTCGTGCTAGATCCTCAAGTAAAGGTCATGAGCCCAAATGCACTGCACATGATGTGGATCTGGGGGAGTGCAGCTTTCCCTTTCACCATTGCTAGGGAGGAAGCCCTGTGGAAGGAAGAGAGTTGGAGGCTCGAGTTGTTGGTAGACGGCATTGATCCGACAATTGTGCAATGGGTATATTCTCTTTGATTCACCGTGATATTGTTATCGACTTATTTCCAATCTTCTACAAATCCGACCCATACTACAAGTCAACTACAATGTCCTAAACCCAATCTCCTTGTATCTTCTCATCTACAGATGTCTGAAGATAAGTACATTTGCTTATATGGAGGCGAGGATACAGATTGGATCCGCAAATTCACCAGTGTGCTACATGCAGTGGGGAACGCAGCAGGCATCCCCCTGGAGATGGTCTATGTGGGCAAAAGCAACCCAAAAGAGCGAGTTCGTAAGAACATAACGGCCATAACAGCAGCTAACATGAGCCACTGCTGGCAGGACTTGACCCTGGTATGGTACTTCTGGGTTCGGATCGAGAGCATGTGGCACTCGAAGAACCAGCTCCATAAAACGGTCGACAACGACCCCATAATGCAAGAGATCATGACATTGCTTAGCTACGACGGCAGTGATGATGGATGGGCCATTCTCAGCAGAGGATCAGGAGGAGACTTGGTCAGAGCCAAAGGAAGCACATTTGTGACATGCTTGACCGAGTTCTCATCGTGGGAGAAGCAAGTTAAAGAAACAGGTTTCCTCCCAGCACTTAAGCAGCACCTCATGGAGCTCCACAGCCCGCACCACTGCAACCGTCTCGTGCTTCCTGGCGCTGCAGCAAACGCGCCGGAGAGGGTGGTGTGCTCGGAGTGTGGCCGGGCTATGGAGAAGTTCATTATGTATCAGTGCTGCGATGAGTAAACAGTGCGGGGCATAGTACTAACTTAGCTCTTGTTTGATATATGGTGCGTGATCTTATGCAAACAGCAAATATGAGTCTGTTTTTCATGTAAATTGCTGGTGTCAAAGGTACTGTTATTGAGTTCATCATCAAAGTTGTAACTGATTGTATGGTCATGTTTGTGAAACTGTACTGAGATTGAATATAGATAAGACTGCTGGTTCACTGATTAACCGTAGAATCGTGATAAAACCATCATTAAAGTATAAATTCATGTCAAACCGGTAATTTGAATGAAATTTATCATATTGAAAGTATTGTTTGTGAAACTGTACTAGACAGTATCATATCTTGGTGGGACAATCTTTCTATCAATATAATATTATTTTGTTATGTAACAAATAATTTATTTTGTATGAATATAAAGTAAATAATCAACTTTTTACTTCTGTAAATTCTAGTAACCAATTTGTTACATTCATCATGGTTCATGGCTTAGTGACCATTTCTGCTGCTTACACGGAAAACTGGGTATGGAGTTGGAATTATGGCGGGAAAGGAAAAGACCACCCGCACCCCATCCCGCCAAAAAACCCGACGTGGCCAAAAAAAGAATATCCCCAAAAAACGGATTATCGGGCTTCGCTTTCTTCCCAATCTCTCTTCTTCCTCGATAGCTCCTTCCCCGCAAACCCTAAAATCACACGGCGCCAACTCATCGCCGGTCCCATTTCGAATCGCGCTTTCGCCCACGATAGCGGGACTTGAATCAGCTGGAGACTGGTTTCCAATTTTGTTTTCGCCTGGAAAAAAAGTCGGTGTATTTCAGCGATGGGTCTGATCAGGAAGGCAGGAGGCGTGGCGCCTCTGAAGAAACGCGCGAGGACGACGGATACAGATGAGAAACGAACGATTCCGGAATCGAAATCGATAGCTGCTGCATCGGCTTCACTCGCCGCGATATGGAGGTCATACGAGCGTACCGAGGGCAGGTTGGAAGCCTTGTCCCGCAGTCTGGGCTACGTATGCCCAATCGGGCCATTCAGACGGGCGGTGGTTTATCCATCTCCGGCCGCGCTAGTGGCTACGCATGATTCCGTGTCGGAAATGGAGAGGGCTTTGGAGCACATGGAGAGGAGATTGGAAGCCTTGTGCCGCATCAATGGCTGCGCACGCCCAGTGGCGCCCAGGGCTTAGTTGCTCTTCACGAGGTAGTTTTCCTTCTCTTTTACTTTCAGCTGTAGTGTATAGGGATTGTTAGTTGTTGTTGAATGTCTAGATGATCTTAAGATTGGAATGTGTGACATTGTAGATTTAGGGGTGGATGCAATATGAGAATGAATGCTTGAAAGTTGAAAGTAGAGCCATTTGTGTTTGATGGTTGCATGAATTGTGGGATCGAAAGTGAGCTGTTTTCGAACTCAAGAGAATAGTAGCAGCCTAATGTGAGATTTTGAGCCAAAAGATTTGATGATTTCTTGTTCTGTGCCGTGCTGGTTTGGTTTTCCTTGTAAACTAGAACTTGCATGATACTGTCTCAAGATGGTAAGTTTAAGAGAATGTTAATCGATTTTAATGGATGGACATAAACAGCAGCAGAATAATGTGAGATTTCGATCTTAAAACTGATGATTTCTTGTGGGGCGGTATTGCTTGCATTGTAAGTCCAGAACTTGCATGATTCTATACCTGAGGTAGTATTAGGCAGTTAAAGCTGATAGGGGCAATTAGGATCACCATGTAACTATATGGTATGGCTATTATCCCCTTTTGAGCCTTACACTTTCTTCCGAATTCATCACATTCAACTACATACCCCGTAAGTATAATGACCATTCGGAATCTATCTTCAGAAGCATGTAATTTTAGGTCGATTAATTTGATCAAATCATTAAGGTTAGAGTTGCCGTGCATCTTTATTGGTTGTTAATTTGACATGCTGCTGAAGGTTTATTGAGATAATGATAGTGGTAACAACAACAGAGAAGTCAGCTTTCATGTAGTGCAGTGGCTGCTACTATTGCAGTTGTATCCTCTGCCCCCTGCATTCCTGGCAATTGTGGAAGTTTAGAGGAGGAAGGACAAAAGGCTGGGGAAGGCTCATATCTTCTGGGGAAGATTGGAAAGGGGATAAGAAGACTTTTCTTTTCTCCTTTATTTCCTGTAAGATAGCTGTTTAATATAGATAAATTATGTTCTCTTGGAGGATAAACTAAATCTCAATTTTCTAGGACTTTGGGCAATGTAGCAACGGATAGGTCTATCTATGCTATGTTTTCCTGTTTATGTGTAGATTTCATAATGCCTCGTGTTGATTGATCACTTTCTCTTCAAATTGCAGTTTTCTTGGCTAATACATTGAGAGAATTCCCGGTAACTGAACACCCTTACACTTGTCACAATTGTCGATTCAAACGAGAGTGAAGTTATGAAGTTAGTTAATTCTCTCATTAATCGTAGTAAGGTAGTAGAGGGAATGTATATTCGTTCGAGTTGGAAGTTCCTGCTTTTCACCTGCATTAGGCTCATTTGCTTGTTGGATTTGGAAGTTCTAGCCATTATCATTGCACAGCATAGTGTCTCTGCTCTTATCCAATTTGTAAGGAAGGGTGGGTATGTGTACAGCAAAGCTTGAAAAGAAATGCGTAGTATGTATACAGTAAGCTTGACTAGAAAACATAGGGACAAGAATCATAAAGGTTAGCAAAATCATGGACGAAAGTTAAGATCATGATCTTGCTGTATTAACTCCCCTAGAAGCAGCACTGAAGGAGAAGAAACTAGCCACAATATCAAAAGGTATACGTGTTCAAGTTGGAAATTTTACTGCTTTTCACCTGAGTTTAAGTGGTTTCATCTCAAGCCATTCCCATGGCAAAACAGAGTCTGCTCATATCGGATGTCCGCGAAGGGACAGAGTCTGCTCATGTCAATTTGCAATAAAGGCGTGATATGTGTACAGCAGCTTGAGAAGTAAGGCGTGGTATGTGTACAGTGAGCTTGAAAAGAAACAAACATAGGGACAAGAATTATAAATGTAAGCAAAATAATGGACCAAAGATAAGATCACGATCTTCTGCATTAACTCCACATGATCTGCTTGTATTAGTTGTATGCATTATCAGGCTTCCTATAAATCCGTCTCCCAAGTCCCAAAGCCACCCATCATCACAAGATCGCCGCTGCTTCTACCACTGTCTTGCCTGTTGATTGTTCGCCATGGGCAAGATGCAGAGGGCGCCAGCCACAGTAGCACCACAGAAGAAGACTAAGAAACAATCATATCCAGAGCAAGTAGCCACTGTATCAATTCATCTCGCCGAGTTACGCAGCAGAGTCAGGGCGGCCGAATTGAAGCTGGAAGCCTTCAAGGGAGGGCTGCCTCCACTGCCGTTGTCTGCCGTGGCGGGCACAATGGTGGGTCCTCTGGCTTCAATCCTTGAAATGCAGAGGGAAATGGCGGAACTAAAGATGGCATTTAAGCACACCGTGGAGAGGGTCGAAGTGATGTCTCGCATCTACGGGTTACCACTCCCAGCTGGGCTCTCCTCCATGGCACATGAACTTTGATTCCGACGGGTGACTGACCTCTGGATTTAGCTATAGAAATCTGGATGAAAGAGTCTCAGTCTGTACTTTCTCGTTTTATGTCATCGTTGTATTGAGTTTTACAGTGTTTGATGTGGAGTGATCACCTTCACATGGGTATATCGTTTCTCGTGTTCTTATTGTATGAAGTCTGGATGGATATCCGGTCGGTCTATCTCTTCTCGTTTCTCTTACCATGTGTAGGTTTTGTAACTCTTTATGCCGAGAGAAATTTCACGTACATATATATCAAGCGTGAGTATGATGCATCTACAGCTCTTCAATATTACGTTCGAGATTATAATGCACTGTATGCAGATCTTAATACATGATGAAAAGCGATGCCATGGTCCACTGTCGACTCTCACATTATTTTCTTTGATTTCTATAGTTGCTTGATTCCAAGCTTTGACATCGGAGGCAGAGTATTCAGAGTTGACGGAATCGAAGGCTGCACCAACCTTCACGCAAAGCTTCTCCACGAGTAAAGGTTTTGCATTTCAGCAAATGCAGCTCAAGATCAGCAAGACAACGATTACAATCGGCACCGGTGACGCCAACCAGACAAGTGGACAAGGCTTTAACTGCACCACGAGGCGCCGTCGGAGGAAAGATTACAATACGGCCGGTGGGTTTTCCCTGAACCGGAGGCGGAGGGTAACGTGTAAATACCACCAGTACCTTAAGAGCTTCATCTACGAAATCGGAGAACGCCTTCGGGTGGGCCACCCGAACGGTGCTGCAGAACGGAGATTTATGGGAAGTAATGCTCCGGAACCCGACTAAGAGTGTGATTACGAATATCATCTGGGCTGCAGAAGTATATGAGAAGTAGTAGTACACCATTGTAGTGTAGATAGATCTCAGCAGTGCTTTCTTTCATATGAGTTTCTACGCTTTTTATAGGCTCAAGGTTGCCACCGCTGATTCAAGCAGCGCGACTCCGACCGCCGCGACGAATCTTTCGCCGGCGCATCCTTTCTACATCGCCAATGGCGATATTCCTTCCCTGCAGCTTGTCACTGTGCCTTTGACTGGAGCGAACTACCACTCCTGGGCGCGTTCCATGCGTATGAGTCTTCATGCAAGAAACAAGCTTCGATTGATTGATCCTCGCGCGTCAGTTCCGTTACCAGATGATCCGTTGTGGACGGCCTGGGATCAGGCGAACATGCTGGTGCTCGGTTGGCTTCAGCGATCTGTTTCCCAAGAAATCGCCCACAGTGTGCTCTGGTTTGACACCGCCGTTGAGGCTTGGGAAGATTTGCGGGAGAGGTTCAGTGAAGGCAACGAGGTTCGTATCTCTGACCTCTATGATGAGATAGCGGCACTCAAGCAAGGTTCTCAAACTGTTACTGCATATTTTACTCGCTTTCGCGTTCTGTGGGAAGAACTGTTAATCTTGAGGCCTCTTCCTTCTTGCACCTGCAATCCACGCTGTGCGTGTTCTGCGGCATCTGTTCCTAGAGAGTATATGCGACGAGATCAGTTGATTCGCTTTCTCAAAGGATTGAATGAGAATTTCTCTGGTGTGAGATCTCAGTTCCTGCTGATGGATCCCCTTCCCTCCATCAATAGGGTTTTCTCCGGACTGGTTCAACAGGAACGGCAGAATACTTCTTCTCTGCCTTCTGTTACTCTCGCCACTCAGGGATCAACTACTAACAGTCAGGGTAGTGCTGTTCCTAATCAAGCTAATGCAGCTCAGAGTCATGGTGGAGGTCGCAAACGACCGTTGTGTACACATTGTGGCATCTATGGCCACACTATTGATCGATGCTACAAAGTCCATGGGTATCCCCCTGGTTACAAGAGTCGTCGTTCAGCTCATGCTGTCACCACCGAGTCTGCTTCCCCTGCTGCTGAT